ATGGTTCGACTATCTTTTATAATTTGAATTAAAATAATCGTTATTTTAAATGATATTACAAACGGACACTTGTCTTCCTGCGGGTTTTCTGTCGGTTTAAACGTTGGCAAAGTTGATCTCGAAAAAAAATTTAGTCTTCTTAATTTTATAGCAAAAAAACTATAGTACAAGAATGTGTACAGTTGTCATAATTTCGTATTAAAATTCAAGACACGGGTGGCTTATATTTTAGCTATGTCCACTGCGTCCGTCACCGTAAAGCTCGACTTAGGTTTCGCTGTCACGTACTCCAGACAAGAATCAAGAAAAATTTGATCAAAGTAACATGTTCCGTTAACATTGTGAACGATAAAAATTCGCGAAACAATTGACATAGAAACCTAAAGCCCTCGAAACATGTTATTGAATAATGTTACCAAAAATCGTCAACAAGATATACATAATTTTCATAGTAGCCTTTGTTGCTTAGTACAAACTACTTTTTTTTTATGGCTCTGGCACGATTTGTGCATTAGCCAGCGTCAAGTATAGGATTTTTTTATAATTCGTGCTTATCTTCAGAAATTCGACCGTGTCCTCCATATACGGTTTAAGCACTCACCAGGTACCGCACAACCCTCCCAAAGGCCGAGAACAAATTTAAATTAAATTAAAACTTGCCCTCGAACCGGGAATCGAACCCGGTACCCCTCACCTAGCTGCCACTTAATAAGACCGCTAGGCTATGAGGCCTCTCAGACTACTTTTTGTAGTACTGTTTTAACTTATGTACTCTTTGAGTCAAACTGTCAAACTATATTTACGCTGTGACGAACAGTGACAGATGAGTATGTACTTCTGTTTGTGGTGTTTGGACTGATTTAGTTTTTATGAATAAAGCAATAAAACTGTGCTACTTGAATGTGCCGTGCTGTGCCGAAAACATTTCTGCGTTTGGAAGTAATTCTTGGTTCGCCGTGAACGCTAGTACCATAGATGGTAGATGCCAGTCGTAACTAGGAAGAAAATATATTAGAAAATACAATACAAATACACAAAAATAAGTTACCTTTAATCAAATTGATAAATAAGTTTAAAACATTTAATAATAGTTAATATACGGGCGGGCAAAATATTTGCTGAATTTTATTTATAGAAATATATTTCTAAAAAGCAACACAAATTTCACAAATAAATTTATTTCCACAAATAAAATATTATTTGTTTTATTCCTCAAACTTCTCAGTAACCAAAATAAATAGCTAAAATGGAGTATAAATATATCGTATAAACTAAACGAAGCTATTCATTTATGGCTGAATTGCTTAGTTGGTTAATTACTTACTAGGAATTTAAAGAACTTTTTAGTACAAACTATATTCGCACTTCAGTTGAAACCACTCAGTTTTCGAAACTCTAAAGTTTAATCTATTCCACTGTATCAAACACAATTGAATTTAAACCAATAATCCGATTGTTATCAAAGTGAAAACTTCAACTGAAAATCCAATAGAAGCCAGAAAAAGTAGTTTTATATAGAATTTATGATGTAATCGAGACATTAAAAGACTTGTTTGAATCGAATGGTATTGATATTGTCAAGTGAGTTGAACTTTAACATCTACAAGTATCTCCTTGACAGTTTAGCAATAGATTGAAGATAGCAATTGTCACGAGTTATCGATTTAGAAACAATTTGTTGATATATACAATATTTTACGCGGGAGAACATTGGCTTGCGAATTAAAAGATAAAAAAATATTAAATAAAACAGTGGCGCTACAAAGTTTTTAGGTCTCTGCCTCAGAGATCTGTTACATGATCATTTGGCAATCTAATAGGCTTGTAGGTAATCAGCCTCCTGTGTGACACACGCCGTCGTCTGCATCTAAGGCAAGCCGGTTTCCACACTATGTTTGCTTCACATTTCGAGCGAATGTTAAATGCACACATCGTAATCGGTACACAGCCGAAGCGACTAGGCCAACACTGCTAAATACTAAAAGATAAAAATAAAAGAACAAGATAAAAATATAAAAAGTTATATTTGTAAACAAATTTTTTGACATCCATAAAATACCTTATTGTAGGCATAAAGAATATAATATCAATTTAATTATTTTATTTATATCGCTATAGTTACATACTGTCTCTGTATCGATACGATAAAATTTGTTGTTTTTTCTATAGCAAGCTACTATCATAATCAAACTAAGACCTACAAAAACAATGTGCACTATTTTATTAATGCGTTATAAGGCTATGTTCAGATGGCAAAAACTTGACGCGCGTTTTCAAATCGCGCGACTAGACATTGTGGTATTTTCATACAACTGTTCACATAAGCGCGCGTTAACGCGCGTCAACGCTGCACTCAGAGAAAAAGTCTCTAGACGCAGGTGATCGCGCGTTGACGCGCGCTTTGATATTAATGTCCGTATGCTGTTCAGTTGAGCGCGCGCTTTCATCGCGATCGCATGTAATTTTGTTAATTTTCGTAATTATATTTATAACAAACTGGGTCTATTTTTCAAAATTGGATGAACCCAATGTGTACGTTTTCTTTTTCTATATTTTTATAACCACAAAATCTCTTCCACGTCCATTTTCTACGTTCTTCCGAACTAGATTGACGAGTACTCTCGCAACGCGCATTAGCGCTCATCATCTGAACTCTCTTCAAATTTGATCGCGCGTTGACGCGCGTCAACTCGCGTTACATGTGAACATAGCCTAATATTATAGAATACATAGTCAAAGTCAAATCATTTATTTCAATTAGACCACCTAAAATGGCACTTTTGAACGTCAAACAAAATACAAAGAAGATTCTAGTTGCCCCTTCCAAAAGGTAGTTTTCGTGTGGAGAAGAATGGGCAAGAAACTCCACACTTACTCTTTTAAAATAGGTTTACAATATTTTGTTTAAATTAGTTAAATAATTATATGTGAAGACATATAATTATTTAACTAATTTAAGTAAGAGAAATTAATATACATGTTTCTAACATATTTACAAATATCGAAAACGTAGAATATTATACATTAAAGAGTAATAAAAATAATATAAAAAAAACAATACAACAGTGTGTGAGATAAAATACGCTTAACAACTAGGCTTTCATTTATAAAAGCAATTTAAAATCAGGTTAACTCTTTGGCTAAAGTCCAATAAAGGACAGTGGGCAAATCTATTTGAAGTACTCCAAAAGTTGCGATAAACATCGTTGGCCGAATACAAAACATTTATTTGATTAATATAAAAAACATTCCATAGACGCGTAACGTGTGACAATTGACGTTTGAAATTTGTATTCATATTGGGATTTTAATAAATACTGGGACTCAAGTTTGACGATCCGTCCTTGACAAGACGTGTAATTTAATATAACAAGTTATTATAACTAATGGTTATTTTTATATTAATAATTTATTGTTTTTATTCATCTGTTAGCACACGATACTTTGATTTGTCAGTTTAACTATAATTAATTAGAGTGAACTTATCAAGAGATGAAGACGAGAGAAACGAATAGTCACAGAATTGTGTTCTTCTTTTGAGTGGAGCTAACAAAGTTACCAATTGAAAGTTAAAATTTTTGTTGACTGACAAATATCTAATCCTTTTATACTAATAAAAAAAAGTCTGGGCCTCAGATTTCTGTGTCTGTTTCGTGGTCGTTTGTTTTTTCTATTAGGCAAGTAGGTGAGCTTTCTGTGCCCACACACAGGCCTTCGATTGAGGTCTAAGGCATTCCTCACGCTGATTTTCGTACGAGCTAGTTAAGTGAAAATCCATTACTGCAGAGCCGAGATACGTACCCACGACCTCAGGGTTGAGTGGCTCAAGCCACTAGGCTAACACTGATCGAATTTGCACAAATAGTTTGACTTTTTTAAGCTTTTCAAACTTGATTACAGTTTGACTAGAATATTACAAAATTTATAGCTAATAATTATATAGTTTTTAAACTATGATGTAGTAAAAGGTTGGTGAAATAACGCACAACCATTACTCAACATATAATAATTAATCACGAAAAAAATCATCTAATACATTTGCGATTCACTCCTGCAAAGTGACCGATAAAGTTACAAAATAATGTCAACATCTATTTTCATTTTAGCTACGACAAAAGCAAAATGACATCACCTAGGCGCGCCTAGACATTGTTATTAAGCAACTTGCGAAACAATATTAGACGAAGGCTTATGTTTCGTAAAACTTTATAAAGGAAAAATATTTTATTATCTTTAATAACGAATATTATGCTTATAATTTTAATAATTAACATTTAAACTATCGTCTTTAGTGACACAATTAAAGACCCAAGACCGTTATGTTAATAAAAACATTTGAATAATATGAACGTTTAATAGAAATTATTTGCAAGAAATGTTTGCACAGACCAAAGAAGGGTTTCTGTGAAATCTGTGTGTGTATGTTAGCGTTTGTGTAACGATGATATATAGCATAGTTTTATGGCTTTGTACTGTATAATATATGCAGTATATAATACCACCTGGAACGCACCCTCAGTTCCTTAACTGTGCGAAAACGAAGTGCTTGGAAATGAACGGATGCAACTTGAGTTGTGGTGACTGTCAAACTTGAATTCGTGAATATTTTTTTTTTATGATTGGACAATTCACACCAATTGACCTAGTCCCATGCTAAGCTGGTGAAGCTTGTGTTATGGGTACTAGGCAACGGATATTCATACAAACTATAGATAGCTAGACATATAAATACATATTTAAACACCCAAGACCTAAGCACAACACCAAATGCTCATCACATCGATGTTTGTCTCAGCCGGGGATCGAACCCGGGACCCATGGATTCGCAGTCAGGGGTACTAACCACTAGACCAATGAGCCGTCAAGCCGAAGTAACTTAACCAACTATTCTTTTTTCAAAAATCTATAAATGCACTTTTTAATACATATCCTTTTTAGTAAGAACTTCGCCTCCAGGTGGTGTTAAAAAATTCAGTATTTTATTTGTCATTAGTACAGTAATGACAGTGTTTGATGATTGTTTTTGCTTGTTTCAGGCGTCGCTAGCGTTTACACTTGCCAGCGAAGATGTACCAAAGAATAACCCAAAAGATATTATAAATGACGAAGTTCGCGCAGCCAGGGACTACAACGGAAATGACAATGAAGTAGTGGTTGACATCGAAGACGATGAGAAGAAACAGTATTACGAAACTAATTACGATACAAGTAAGATATTTAAATATGTTGATAGTTGAAAAATTCAGTATTATCTATTAGAGTCTGGCTAGTGAAAAAAGATAACGAAAAAGCGCGGCAAATTCAATTTTTTTTAGTATGGTATCCCTAAAATTTTGATATATTTTGAGGATTAAACTTACTTGATTTTATTTGATTATATTTTACATTGATAGTAACTGTATTTCTATGAAATTAAATACTATACGTATTTATTCTTTTAGTATTCATACTTAAAATGACTAGCATTGCATGGAAAACTAAAACTATATTTATTATAAAACACAAGTTTATTCGGAATAATCAAATCCTGTGAAAGAAACGAAACATTCTATCAAATAAAACAAAGTTTAGGCTATTATACCTGTTAACTATTCGGAAAAAATATATAATAGAATTAAAAATGAGTAATTGCATGAAGTATCAAGACAATAATGAATAAATCATACTTACCTAAGAAATTCATTGACATTCTGTGTTGCCATCCGAAAGTTTTCAAATAATTCAATTATCTTCTTTCATTAGCCAGACTCTAGAGGGTAAAAAGGGATTGCTCTGCTCTTTAAAATCATGATCTTCGAGTCTTAGTTGTAAGTATAACTTTTGTATGTCAAATTTAATCCGCTTTTGACGTACGGAAGTTACAATTAGCGCTAGGTATCGACTCTGAATCTAACTCTAATCTATTTATTTATTTATTAACGTTCACCACATCAATAATGCATTTCTTCAGTATATGTTAAAAGCTATCCATTCTAAAAATACTTGACACTTATAATAAATATTATTTTACAAAAAAAAAATATACTACAAAATATTTGACAAAATGTACACATCCAATTTAAGATTTTACTAGTAATTGACTTAACAATGCTGAGTGAATCATAGTGAAAGTGTGTTCGTCTTAAGACTGTAAGTAGTGTCACAGAGTATTTAATATTCTTATTAGCAATTCAAATAAAATCAAATCAATATAAGACTTCTGTCAAAAAAACAATTCACTTAAAAAATATAGGTCCTAGAAATACTTTTCAACTTAATAGTTTCCCGGAATTTTCTTCGTCTCAAAACAGTTGCATCTGCCTTTGCGATTACCTCTGGGAAAACAGAACTATGTAAATGCAGTATTTATTTTAAATTGATTTCTCTACAGAATATTGCAATTGAAAAGTTTTAAACATTTTCAGAATTCAGTTTAGTTGCTCTTCTATACATTTTACAGTTTTATAGTTTATTTCACAATTATTTGAGATGTCACAATCCAAAGTCAAATCATTTATGTCAATTAGGCATATTTCAAAGGCACTTTTGAAAGTCAAATGACTTTCGCTCTGTGTGTTTAAATTTAAAATAATGTTTAAGTAAACAAGAAATATCACGTTATTAATACGGTAAAGAGTATATTTAGTATCTTTGTTTTATTTATAACATAACCATAAAGTCCAAGACATAAATAAATAAAGCTTATAAAAGCTCGAACTTATGCGCCAATTATAGAATATATGTTAAATAAAATCCGAAATAAAAAGATTCCTCCTATTGAGTATTTAATTACAGATAAAATTATTTATAGTAAAAATAGCTATAAATAAAGAAATACAAAGCCTTTTCACCTAAGTAAGTTAAAAGTCTGAGAGCAGTGTTGGCCTAGTGGCTTCAGCGTGCGACTCTCATACCTGAGGTCGTAGGTTCGATCGTCGGCTGTGCACCAATGGACTTTCTTTCTATGTGCGCATTTAACATTTGCTCGAACGGTGAAGGAAAACATCGTGAGGAAACCGACATGTCTTAGACCCAAACAGTCGGCGGCGTGTGTCAGGCACAGGAGGCTGATAACCTATTTGCCTATTAGATTTAAAAATGATCATGAAACAGATTCAGAAATCTGAGGCCAAGACCTAAAGAGGTTGTAGCGCCACTGGTTTATTTATTTTTTATGTTTAAGTTAAAAGTCTAACCTAAGTAACGCCTATTTATGACAGAGCGTATATTTGATTGTACATCTATTTCAGGTGCGTATGGATTTGGTTACGATGTCGGCCCTAATGGTCAGTTTCACCACGAAAACCGAGGACCAGATGGTGTCACCTACGGTTGCTATGGTTACGTAGACCCGGACGGCTACCTTCGAGCCACACACTATGTAGCTGATAGTCACGGATACAGAGTTGTAGAGCCAGAAAAACCAGTTGAAGTTTATCCGGACACTAACCATGTATACGATGAGAAGTGAGTATTTTTATTTTATATTAAACTGCTAATATAATAGAGGCCTAGTAGCGTCAGCGTGCGACTTTCTCACCTGAGGTCGTAGGTTCGATCCCCGTGCACCAATGGACTTTCTTTCTATGTGCGCATTTAACATTCGTTTGAACGGTGAAGGAAAACATCGTGAGGAAACCGGCTCGTCTAAGACCCAAAAAGTCGACGGCGTGTGTCAGGCATAGAAGGCTGATGACTTGCCTATTAGATTGGTAAATGATCATGCAATAGATACAGAAATCTGAGGCCCAGACCTAAAAAGGTTGCACGGGTGGACATTTTGTTAACTTTTTGTATATGTTCTTTAATATTGTGGAACATTTTTTTGTTCTATCGTCAATGGTTTACACGGTGCATGCGATCAAAGATATTTTATATACAATTTTTTTACACCTTGGGTAACGTTATTGTAGTTTTAGTAGGGATCCTTGTTTGTTTTCTTGCAATTAAAATAACCTATATTAATCAGTGATAATGTAGCATTCAAATGGTGAAAGAATTTTTTAAATCGGCCCAGTACTTTTTGAGCCAAATCATTACAAATATACTTGTATACAAATCTTTCCTCTTTATAATATTATATTAGTATAGATTAAAAGTGAGGTGCCGATATTTTGACAATAGCTTCCGTAATATTTATAAATATGTTTCGTATTTCAGTTCTGACAACGCATCCGAAATACCTGGACAAATTATTACTTGGGACAAATTGTACTTCCCTAAGGGATGTGGAAGGACCCCAGGTGGTGTTCCACCGAAACCCCGACCGAAGCCAACCCCGCGACCCCCGAAACCCCCAACAGATAGTACTGGACAAAACAGCAACCCCAACCCTGGTGTGATTTACCCTGGAGGTATGTCTTTATAACCACGAACCGAGTTTTTTTTACAAAAAAAATCTGCAAATCTTCTTCTGCTTAAAAATATTGTTGAAAAACCGTTTAAGACGACATCATTTAGAACAACATACCGGTTATATTGACCAAAATCAAAGGTCCCGGCTAAATTCTATTGTACTAGATAACAACGTCATCGGCTGTTACGACTATCGGTTTTTACGACCAAATATGAGTAGACCCTTCGATGTCGTTATAACAGATTTTGACAGTATTTTTAACTAAGAGGGACTTGACCGTAAAATTCAATAAGTGAAACTATAATTGTGCCAATATACATATATGTGTAGCATGTATTTGTTACAAAAAATCACTTCCGTGATACAATATACTTCAGACTATAGACAATACGCTTCAAACTATAGAACTCAATTAGTTAAAGAATCTTTTATGGGATGTATAACTAAGAATAATTAAAAAACCTAAAGGTATAAAAAGTTGTTACTATTTTTCCTAATCATTTTAGGTCCAGGATACTATCCCGGTACTTCCGGAACCCCTGGCTCCCCAGGCTACCCCGGATCTCCAGGCAGTCCAGGAGGACCTGGTGGACCAGGAGGAGCGGGAGGCGGTTATTACCCCGGATCAGGTATGTTTTCTACCAAATATTTAAATCACATAAACAACGACATTATTACAAAAAAATACCGTACGACTACATCTTTATAAGCGGAAGGAAGGAAGCCATATGTTCACGTTTCATCAAATTTAGTAGAACAATATAAAAAAACTCGGAATTAATATCTCTAATATATATATATCTTTAATTTCTAAAGCTCAAAGGATATCCAATGCATTAGTAGGAACATTAAGTATCAGTAACATAAACAGCTAAAAAATAAATAATACAAAAGTAAATAAACAGTTATACATACACCTTCAATCCAATCCTTAATATATTATCATGAAGAAATCAAAACATTTTTTAGGTGCTGGCGGTCCAGGTGGACCAAACGGACCAAATGGACCTAACGGACCAAGTGGTCCAGGGGGACCGAATGGACCAAACGGTCCTAGTGGTCCAGGTGGACCTAATGGTCCTGGAGGACCAAACGGGCCGAATGGACCGGGAGGATCAGGTAATGCTTATGTTTAAAAAAAAGGATTAATAGAGATTTAAGGAGTACTTATATACTATCAGTACGCCTTCACATATCTTTCTTTTTGTGTTCTTTTACACAGTATCTGTAATTATTTTACATCTAGTGCAGTGTTTCCCAATGTGGGACCCACGCCCCACAGGGGGTAATTTGATTGTTAAGGGGCTATTCTTTTTTTTTTAATTATTTGGAATTTGAATTACTGTTTTTCATTATATGTTTTGTAAAATTACTTACTGTGTTAACCTATCAATTAACAAGAGAGTGAGTAAGAGTTTCTTAAGTGATTCAATTCAATTTTTTATATTTATTTTTGTACAGGAGAATAAGAATTTTAGAAAGGCTAAGGTGGGGCATGGCACAAAATAGGTTGGGAAACACTCATCTAGTGTGATAACAACAAATTGACTAAACGTATACTGTGAAAATTCATTTTATACTTATTTTCAATATTTTTTCCATCACAAGCAACTTAAGCGACTAATTTATACAATCGATCCGCTCCCGTAATGAACAGGACAAAACCCAGTACTTTAAACTGAACAATTATTTGTAGGAGGCGGTTATTACCCCGGATCAAGTGGACCATCTGGTCCCACCGGTGGAGGTGGCTACTACCCAGGATCACAAGGTTTGTTAAATATACTTCCCGGCGAAAGTTATCAAGAGGCTTTGTACACTCCTCTTTCCACGACACAAAAATCTATAACTTTTTTTTATAGAACAGAGGCCAAATGGGTAGGAGGCTCACCTGATGTTAAATGATACCGCCGCCCATGGACACTCTCAATGCCAGAGGGCTCGCGAGTGCGTTGTCGGCCATTTTGCCAGCTGACTATATGTCTTCTATATTTTTGCACTACTTGCTTACCTTATCTAATTTAATTTCTATTTCTCACAGTGGTTGTCTGGAAGAGATTGCTCGAAAGCGATAAGGCCGCCAGTTGCCCTTCTTTTCATTGTATTATATATCAATTGTATTATATTTCTGTATGCAACACAGCGTTAATGAATAAATAAAAATCTCTCTAAGCGGTGTGCGAATATAATATTTATTATTAAAACAAAATCTACTCCCGGTTATATACCTACCGATTAAGAAGTTAGCAAATCTTTTAATTAGGTGAACTACTTCACAACAGATTAGGCAGACATGGCTGTCATCACAAAATACGCTTTAAATTACATTTTACGTGCAGATGGTGGATATTATCCAGGACAACCAGGCTCACCCGGATTTCCAGGATCTCCAGGCAGTCCTGGTGGACCAGGTGGACCAGGTGGACCAGGTGGACCAGGTGGTCCAAGTGGACCCGGTGGCGGTTATTACCCAGGTGGTCAAGGTAGGGTTTATTACACCAAGAACAATGTACCTATTGGTATTTAATCATAATTTTCTGAATTATTTGAAATTCTTTAATGTTTAAATACGTAATTACTTTATAGCACCTGGAGGAGGAGGATATCATCCAGGACCCAGCGGACCAAATGGACCATCAGGTGGTGGCTATTACCCAGGTATTATGATAGTAACGTTTTTATTATATAGTTCTTCTTTCTATAAGATTTGGTTATACAATTAAAAATGAGAAACATTTAAAAGTACTGAAGTATTCTATTCGAAAAGGAGGCTAAAGTTTAGTTCATATTGAATCATTTATTAAAGTTTACCACTTCATAGTATATGTATATGTTACAAACTATTTTATCTAAAATGTATCACAATTTAGATAAACATAAATGTTACAAAAAAGAGTAAAAAATACAATTAAATTATATACAAGATAAAATAAAAATACCAGATTTTTTTTGTAAAGCACAGAAAAAATCAGCAAAATATAACTGTATATTAACACCTACAGTGATTTTAATGAATATAATTTTTTCGCTTCAGTTTAATGAAAGAATTAATTATACCTACTACAAACTGACGTAATTATCTTCCGGATACTTAACTTGATTATTATTTAGGACAACCAGGAAGTCCAGGCTTACCGGGTTCACCAGGATACCCGGGTGGGCCCGGCGGACCTGGAGGACCAGGCGGCCCAGGAGGACCAGGAGCGAGTAGCCCCGGTCAAGGTTGGTACTTTAATAATGGCTGATTATAAGGTATACTGATTTTGTTTAAAATAAATAAAAACTTCGATTATACTAGGACCAACTGGTGGAGGCTACCTGCCAGGACAGTCGGGCAAACCAAGCGGACAAGACGGAACAGGAGGACCCAGTGGCCCAAGTGGCCCACCAGGCAGCTATTATCCAGGTGAAAAATTAATGATTCAAATTGTCAAGTCTATTAACTTGTCTCCATCTTTTACTTTATAAATTTAAAGAGATTTTCGGTAAATAATTCTGTAAGCCAAAACCTATATTCTAGAAAGTATAAAATGTTTTAATATTATTATTCATAGGATCTCCAGGAAGTCCGGGCTTACCCGGCTCACCAGGATATCCAGGTGGTCCTGGTGGTCCTGGGGGACCAGGAGGTCCAGGTGGACCAGGGGGACCAAGTGGACCAGTGGGACCAAGTGGAGGAGGCTACTTGCCAGGACAATCAGGCGGGCAAAATGGACCAGGACCCAACGGACAAGGAGGCTCCGGTGGACCTAACGGGCCAACAGGAGGAGGCTATTATCCAGGTAAATAAAATTATTGTTATTACTTCTTTTAAAAAAATATAATTTCGCTATCAATACTACTAGTTAATACGTCAAACGCTGAAATCATACATGTATGTCGTACAAAATTTTAAGTCAATACTCTATATTATTCTTTAGGTCAATCAGGAAGTCCAGGATTACCAGGCTCGCCAGGACATCCTGGTGGTCCCGGAGGCCCTGGGGGACCAGGTGGCCCAGGTGGACCGGGAGGACCAAGTGGAGGAGGCTACTTGCCAGGACAATCAGGCGGTCAAAATGGACCAGGAGGTCCCAACGGACCAGGAGGCTCCGGAGGCCCTAGCGGGCCAATAGGAGGAGACCATTATCCAGGTAAATAAAAGTTTCCTTTGGTTCAAAGATACTTTATTTCTCAAAGAAATTTGAAGTAGGTTTGTTATGTACATCGTGTTAAGAAACTATTTAAAAATAAGCTATATAAGATAAAAATATTAATTGCTAACAAAATGTACAATATTTTTTACAAAAGTGCAGGTAGGTCGCATCGATGTTACAACAGGCATTGTGTGACTAATGAATAGTAATAATCTCTTAGACGCACTTTCACATATATAAATAAATGCCAGAAGTGACTTTTTTATGTTTTGTAAATACATATTTATTCTATTAATTTAAATTGAACTTTTACGATTTTTATAGACAATATATATATATGTAATACATATTAAATATTTTAAAATTTGTAAAAAGGTTTTATTTCTTTTAAACTGGATGGCAATTTATTAAATATTTGTGCGCCTTGATACATTATATTAAGTTTTCCGAAATTAGTCCTTGGTTGTATTAACCATAATAATTGTTTAAATTTTCTTAATCAATACTTTTTATCTGATTTTTGTGAAAAGAATAGATTTATATGAATTAATTTGTTAATAATTTTGTACTTTTAAATGGAGGTATTGTAAACGTATGTCTGGTGTCTCATAGATTTGCTATCTCTGGATAGTTTTTCAGTTGGAGTCAAATAGTCTTAATAGAATATTGTCTTCAATAATTTATTTTGCATTTTTTGTATTTTACAACGATTGGTAGGCAGGCAACTACTACAACAATAGACTAGCAAAACAAACTACTATAAATTATTTTTCGATTGCAAATCAGTTTATTACAATAAATGGTCAAATTATGGTTGTATAAAATAATTAACAAATAATACTCTATATTATTCTTTAGGTCAACCCGGAAGTCCAGGTTTACCAGGTTCACCAGGATATCCGGGTGGACCAGGGGGCCCGGGTGGACCAGGTGGACCAGGCGGACCTGGGGGACCAAGTAGTGGTTATAACCCCGATTCCCAAGGTAATGTATTAAATTAAGCTCCTATTCTAAACGAATATCATTATAATGGTTTATTTGACATTGGACGATATGACATTTTAAATATTTTCGTAACAGATTACATCTAAAGCAACGTTTAAAATTTTTTATCCACAAGATATTCGAGCATGGCTCCGCCGACTGGTGACCGTAGACTCACGCTTAATACATTTAATTCTCATACTACAAGACCATTAATATCAAATAAACATAAATTAATTTTTTTGATAAATATTAAATTTACTTTTGAGACACCACTCATAAGCAAAATACAATCCAGGACAACCAGGCGGCCCAAGTCAACCAGGACAACCAGGCCAACCCGGTAAACCAGGCACCCCAGGACAACCAGGAACCCCAGGCAAGCCAGGCCAACCCGGCCAACCAGGAACACCAGGTCAGCCCGGATATCCGGGACAACCCGGTAAGCCAGGCCAACCCGGACAACCAGGCTATCCAGGACAACCAGGCCAACCAGGCCAACCAGGAGGACCAGGACAACAAGGCCAACCAGGCTATCCAGGACAACCAGGCCAACCAGGCTATCCAGGACAACCGGGTCAACCAGGCACACCAGGACAACCAGGCACCCCAGGCAAGCCAGGCCAACCCGGCCAACCAGGAACACCAGGCCAACCAGGCAAGCCAGGCCAACCCGGCCAACCAGGAAAACCAGCTCAGCCTGGATATCCAGGACAACCCGGCCAACCTGGCTATCCAGGACAACCGGGTCAACCAGGCACACCAGGCAAGCCAGGCCAACCCGGCCAACCAGGAACACCAGGTCAGCCTGGATATCCAGGACAACAAGGCCAACCAGGCCAACCCGGACAACCAGGACAACCCGGCTATCCAGGACAACAAGGCCAACCAGGCTATCCAGGACAACCAGGCCAACCAGGCTATCCAGGACAACCGGGTCAACCAGGCACACCAGGACAACCAGGTCAACCAGGCACACCAGGCAAGCCAGGCCATCCCGGCCAACCAGGAACATCAGGCCAACCAGGAGGACCAGGACAACAAGGCTATCCAGGACAACAAGGCCAACCAGGAGGACCAGGACAACAAGGCCAACCCGGACAACCAGGCCAACCAGGCTATCCAGTACAACCAGGCACCCCAGGCAAGCCAGGCCATCCCGGCCAACCAGGAACACCAGGTCAGCCCGGATATCCGGGACAACCCGGTAAGCCAGGCCAACCCGGACAACCAGGCTATCCAGGACAACCAGGCCAACCAGGAGGACCAGGACAACAAGGCCAACCAGGCTATCCAGGACAACCAGGACAACCCGGCTATCCAGGACAACCGGGTCAACCAGGCACACCAGGACAACCAGGCACCCCAGGCAAGCCAGGCCAACCCGGCCAACCAGGAACACCAGGCCAACCAGGCTATCCAGGACAACCAGGACAACCAGGACAACCCGGTTATCCAGGACAACAAGGCCAACCAGGCTATCCAGGACAACCGGGTCAACCAGGCACACCAGGACAACCAGGCACCCCAGGCAAGCCAGGCCAACCCGGCCAACCAGGAACACCAGGCCAACCAGGCTATCCAGGACAACCAGGACAACCCAGCAAGCCAGGCCAACCTGGCCAACCAGGAACACCAGCTCAGCCTGGATATCCAGGACAACAAGGCCAACCAGGCCAACCCGGACAACCAGGACAACCTGGCTATCCAGGACAACCGGGTCAACCAGGCACACCAGGCAAGCCAGGCCAACCCGGCCAACCAGGAACACCAGGTCAGCCTGGATATCCAGGACAACAAGGCCAACCAGGCCAACCCGGACAACCAGGAGCACCCGGCTATCCAGGACAACAAGGCCAACCAGGCTATCCAGGACAACCAGGCCAACCAGGCTATCCAGGACAACCGGGTCAACCAGGCACACCAGGACAACCAGGCACCCCAGGCAAGCCAGGCCAACCCGGCCAACCTGGAACACCAGGCCAACCAGGCTATCCAGGACAACCAGGACAACCCGGCTATCCAGGACAACAAGGCCAACCAGGAGGACCAGGACAACAAGGCCAACCCGGACAACCAGGCCAACCAGGCCAACCTGGAACACCAGGCCAACCAGGCTATCCAGGACAACCAGGACAACCCGGCTATCCAGGACAACAAGGCCAACCAGGAGGACCAGGACAACAAGGCCAACCCGGACAACCAGGCCAACCAGGCTATCCAGTACAACCAGGCACCCCAGGCAAGCCAGGCCATCCCGGCCAACCAGGAACACCAGGTCAGCCCGGATATCCGGGACAACCCGGTAAGCCAGGCCAACCCGGACAACCAGGCTATCCAGGACAACCAGGCCAACCAGGAGGACCAGGACAACAAGGCCAACCAGGCTATCCAGGACAACCAGGACAACCCGGCTATCCAGGACAACCGGGTCAACCAGGCACACCAGGACAACCAGGCAACCCAAGCAAGCCAGGCCAACCCGGCCAACCTGGAACACCAGGCAACCCAGGCAAGCCAGGCCAAACCGGCCAACCTGGAACACCAGGCCAACCAGGCTATCCAGGACAACCAGGACAACCCGGCTATCCAGGACAACAAGGCCAACCAGGAGGACCAGGACAACAAGGCCAACCCGGACAACCAGGCCAACCAGACTATCCAGTACAACCAGGCACCCCAGGCAAGCCAGGCCATCCCGGCCAACCAGGAACACCAGGTCAGCCCGGATATCCGGGACAACCCGGTAAGCCAGGCCAACCCGGACAACCAGGCTATCCAGGACAACCAGGCCAACCAGGAGGACCAGGACAACAAGGCCAACCAGGCTATCCAGGACAACCAGGACAACCCGGCTATCCAGGACAACCGGGTCAACCAGGCACACCAGGACAACCAGGCACCCCAGGCAAGCCAGGCCAACCCGGCCAACCAGGAACACCAGGCCAACCAGGCTATCCAGGACAACCAGGACAACCCGGCTATCCAGGACAACAAGGCCAACCCGGACAACAAGGCCAACCAGGCTATCCAGGACAACCAGGCCAACCAGGCACACCAGGACAACCAGGCCAACCAGGCTATCCAGGACAACCAGGACAACCCGGCTATCCAGGACAACAAGGCCAACCCGGACAACAAGGCCAACCAGGCTATCCAGGACAACCAGGCCAACCAGGCACACCAGGACAACCAGGCACCCCAGGCAAGCCAGGTCAGCCTGGATATCCAGGACAACAAGGCCAAGCAGGCCAACCCGGACAACCAGGACAACCTGGCTATCCAGGACAACCAGGCCAACCAGGCTATCCAGGCAAGCCAGGCCAACCCGGCCAACCAGGCCAACCAGGAGGACCAGGACAACAAGGCCAACCCGGCTATCCAGGACAACCGGGTCAACCAGGCACACCAGGACAACCAGGTACCCCAGGCAAGCCAGGCCAACCCGGCCAACCAGGCCAACCCGGCCAACCAGGCCAACCAGGCTATCCAGGACAACCAGGACAACCCGGCTATCCAGGACAACAAGGCCAACCCGGACAACAAGGCCAACCAGGCTATCCAGAAAAACCAGGCACCCCAGGCCAACCCGGACAACCAGGACAACCCGGCTATCCAGGACAACAAGGCCAACCAGGATATCCAGGACAACCAGGTCAACCAGGCACACCAGGCAAGCCAGGCCATCCCGGCCAACCAGGAACATCAGGCCAACCAGGAGGACCAGGACAACAAGGCTATCCAGGACAACCAGGACAACCCGGCTATCCAGGACAACAAGGCCAACCCGGACAACCAGGCACCCCAGGCAAGCCAGGCCAACCCGGCCAACCAGGAACACCTGGCCAACCAGGAACACCAGGTCAGCCTGGATATCCAGGACAACAAGGCCAACCAGGCCAACCCGGACAACCAGGACAACCCGGCTATCCAGGACAACAAGGCCAACCCGGACAACAAGGCACCCCAGGCAAGCCAGGCCAACCCGGCCAACCAGGAACACCAGGCCAACCAGGAACACCAGGTCAGCCTGGATATCCAGGACAACAAGGCCAACCAGGCCAACCCGGCCAACCAGGACAACCCGGCTATCCAGGACAACCGGGTCAACCAGGAACACCAGGCCAACCAGGAACACCAGGTCAGCCTGGATATCCAGGACAACAAGGCCAACCAGGCCAACCCGGACAACCAGGACAACCCGGCTATCCAGGACAACAAGGCCAACCCGGACAACAAGGCACCCCAGGCAAGCCAGGCCAACCCGGCCAACCAGGAACACCAGGCCAACCAGGAACACCAGGTCAGCCTGGATATCCAGGACAACAAGGCCAACCAGGCCAACCCGGACAACCAGGACAACCCGGCTATCCAGGACAACCGGGTCAACCAGGAACACCAGGCCAACCAGGAACACCAGGTCAGCCTGGATATCCAGGACAACAAGGCCAACCAGGCCAACCCGGACAACCCGGACAACCAGGACAACCCGGCTATCCAGGACAACCGGGTCAACCAGGAACACCAGGCCAACCAGGAACACCAGGTCAGCCTGGATATCCAGGACAACAAGGCCAACCCGGCTATCCAGGACAACAAGGCCAACCAGGCTATCCAGGACAACCAGGACAACCCGGCTATCCAGGACAACAAGGCCAACCCGGACAACAAGGCACCCCAGGCAAGCCAGGCCAACCCGGCCAACCAGGAACACCAGGCCAACCAGGAACACCAGGGCAGCCTGGATATCCAGGACAACAAGGCCAACCAGGCCAACCCGGACAACCAGGACAACCCGGCTATCCAGGACAACCGGGTCAACCAGGCACACCAGGACAACCAGGCACCCCAGGCAAGCCAGGCCAACCCGGCCAACCAGGAACACCAGGCCAACCAGGAGGACCAGGACAACAAGGCTATCCAGGACAACCAGGACAACAAGGCCAACCCGGACAACAAGGCCAACCAGGCAAACCCGGACAACCAGGACAACCCGGCTATCCAGGACAACAAGGCCAACCAGGCTATCCAGGCCAACCAGGCTATCCAGGCCAACCAGGCTATCCAGGACAACCAGGTCAACCCGGCCAACCAGGAACACAAGGTCAGCCTGGAAATCCAGGACAACAAGGCCAACCAGGCGAACCCGGACAACCAGGACAACCCGGCTATCCAGGACAACAAGGCCAACCCGGACAACAAGGCCAACCAGGCTATCCAGGACAACCAGGTGGGTTTTTCCTTAGTTATTGTGCATTTAGAAGTTCAATCCAAAATATTTTATTCATATATCAATCAAATAATTAAATATGAGATATTATATGATTCCCAAAATGGATTTAGGAAAAGCAACAGAATACGCTATTTCAAATCTTATATCAATACTGTCAATCATTTAGGTAAGGGTAACAAATTTCTAACTGTATTTTTGGACATAAAAAAGCATTTGATACGTCTCTGTAACCACTCTTTTAGACAAGCTAGAGGCGATTGGAATCAGAGTTACCGCGCTTAAAATTTCTTCCGATTACTTGAGTAACAGTGAGTTAAGATTAATATTATTAGACACACATTTTTGAATCACTTATGAAGTCTCGCAAGTTCTTGGTCTGACCTTATTTTTAAAATATATTAACAATTTTAAAAACTTTTGTTTAAATCATGCCGATGTTTCCGTATGCAGACGATACTGCAATTGTTTTCCCCGGTCGTAAATGTAAGGATGTATTTTATTATACCTAGCTAGGGCTAGCTAAAATTGCTGGATGGCTTAAAGAATCTGTAAAAAATATGACTAACTCTTAACACAATATGTAACACAAATAGTATCTGCATTTTAATTGACAAACGAAACCAACTTTAAAATTACTGTATGAAATCTACTGCTAGAATAAAAAACGTGTGTGTACTTATGTACACGCGCTAGAAATTATACTTCTTTGGCGTAATAAGGTAAAAATATTTTCAAAAATTTTATCTTTCGCCTTATTCTACGATTGTAGAAAAATTGTTTTAGAAAAAAATTTACTCTCATAATTTTTCCCTAACTCGCCAAAACTTAAAGTATAACTTCAAAAATTCATTTTCATTTTTAAATACCTTCGACATTTTGCTTCGAATAAACATTTAACCCAAATCTATACCGCTCTTGCTCAATATTTTATTATGTATGTCAAACCGGTCTGAGATCTTGCTAACAAAACCAAATTACTAGAAATAGAAAAGGAACGTAGTTTACTTATGATAGATAATTTCAAGCTACAATAATTTCCAACACAAAAATTCCATTAATGGAAATATTAGCGTGCGGAAGAGAGAAACACGGACTGCTTCCATTCTGCTTAGGTTGAAGCAACAATTATACCAACGGCTGCAGAGCTGGAAATACAAAGAAGTGATAGATTTAATGTCTGTTATTACATAACGTTACACATTCACGCACAGAAAGTCTACCATTCGTACAACAAAAATAATTATGTATTTATTACCATATAAGTTACGAAAGAGCTAGGTATATAAAAAATAAAAGTGCGGGCGTACAAAATACGCATGTCAGAAGTGAAACTTCTTTGGCAAAGTATTTTTTATGTCTTGTTCATATTTATTCAAAATTTAGATTTCCGAGACTTAGAGGTAGGGAAAAAGGAAGATATGTTAGGAATTTAATTGTCATTAAAATAATATTAAGTGTCGAAAATTAATAATAATAATATTTTGTTTGTTTAATTTTTTCGTCGATTATAAAAACACGTGGCAGTTAATTTAAAATTCGTCATTTGAGATTTCATAAAATTATTTTGCATAAAATATAAAATATTGGTATGTTATCTAAAGCTGGCGGCTTCAACACATTTACACTTTGTGCTTGTGTAGTGTCTGTGAATAAGCGCGAGGCGTTATGTCAAACTGAATATGCATCATGAAAAGACTGTCCGTCTCTCTCGCGCTCGGTCAAGCTTAAGAGTATAAAAGAGACAGTTATTGTTTTGCTTTTGCTACTGTTTATGTTGATCTTTACTGTACATGTTGATCTTTTTTCTCATTATTATTTTGTTTACTTATTTGGTTGGAGGTTAGAATACTTTGAAAAAAATGTCTTATGAAATATACTCCGTCTAAACATTACCAGGACAATCTCGTGAAATGGTGCACAATGTTTTTAATTATTTTAAGCATGTTAATAAAAACAGCTTAATGAAAAAAATTATTTTTAATTTGACATCAGATGCTACTAGGGTTTCTAAGAGGAGTATTGAAAGAATTGTTAGTGAAGTGTGTTGAGCTAGATGGAGCTTATGTCGAAAAATGAAAAATTATTTACACAAACTACTCTTTTACGTTCTTGGTCGGGCTTAGAACTTTTGGATCCACCCTCGTATGAACATAATATTTATATGTATTTGACACATTTTTATTAATTTACAATCCACCCAACCTTACTAAAACCAGAGTAGACTAAAATATATAGCTTGGCAAAACAGTCATATTTTTAAACACACTGTATAGTGAAATTGCATTAGTGTGAGTACTGTGAACGCGCTAGCTTTCGATAACCGACCTATACTAATATTTCATAAATTCTCTTTAAAAAATAAAAATTCTATTCTCACTTCCTCTCAATCGGTCTCAATCGCACTCTCCCTATTCTTCGACAAAAACGCTGCACATCTTCGCGACGCTAATATTATTATTATTGCGTTTTATCCGTAAAAATGTTACCATCATGCGCCTAAAGAAGTTTCACTTCAAAAATATGGGAAATAAAGACTTATTGTTAATAATTAAATAATTTTACTGTACAGCTACATAATGAAAATGTAACATTTTATATAAAGAAAATTGTATCTAGGTCAACAAGGCCAGCCCGGACAACCAGGAACACCAGGCCAGCCAGGACAACCAGGCTATCCAGGACAACCAGGAACACCAGGCCAACCAGGAACACCAGGCCAGCCAGGACAACCAGGAACACCAGGCCAGCCAGGTCAACCTGGAACACCAGGTTACCCAGGTCAACCTGGAGGTCCAGCCCAACCAATCCAACCCGGTCAACCAGGCACCCCAGCACAACCAGGCCAACCCGGTCAACCAGGACAACCCGGTAAACCTGGCTACCCAGGACAACCAGGAGGTCCAGGCCAACAAGGCCAACCCGGACAACAAGGCTACCCAGGTCAGCCAGGCACCCCAGGACAACCAGGAACACCAGGCCAACAAGGCCAGCCCGGACAACCAGGTAGATTTTTACTTAGTTATTGATGCTCAAGGAGTCCGTTAAAAATTCATATATTTAATATGGAAATTTAAGTAGAACATTTTATTCAAAAAAATATTTTTTCTCTAGGACAACAAGGTCAACCGGGAGCACCAGGACAACCAGGAAGCCCAAGTGGGCAAGGACAGCCCGGCCAGCAACAGCCAGGAAAGCCAGGCGGTAATAGAACTTATATAATAAATTATAACCCCATTATTTAAAAATTGTTTAACAATGGAGGAGTAGCAACCGATTACTAAAAATGTTTTTAAAGTATAAAATGTGTATATTGTTTACAATAATTATTTTATTAATTCACAGGTGATTCGGTTGGTGAATCAACTGGCACTGGTGTGCAACCCCCAGTTTATCCGCCGGGGCAAATGCCTCCGTTCCCTATGTACGTCATACCCTATCCTTTGCCCATCGTGCCATATCCAGGTTCATGTCCGTGCTACCTCTTGAATCCAGGAAATAACAGCAGCAGTACAGCTGTCACCCAGGCGCCAATACAAAGCCCTCCGCCATACTATTCACCGTATGGAATAATTGGTTTTCTACCTGTGGTCTTCGTCCCAAGCTGCCCCGGTAACGTAACTGATATGCAAACTGCACAACAGAACTTCCCCGGAGCTGTACCAGTTCCATATAATTGCGCCCAGTGCCAGGCAAGCCGAGACATATATAGATATTTCGGAAGAATTGGTGGCGCTCGAAGCGTGGATTTCAAAGATCTTAAAGAAATAACTTCCCTGCCAGAATTGGAAAGTTTATTGAAAAATGAAATAAATGTGCCCAGAAAAAGTCTGCGAAGAATTAAAGTACACGCCCGCGTTTTAGACGATAAGAAAGACGAAAAGAAAACTGTATCGAAAGAGTAAACTTAAATCGACTGTATAAATATAAGTAGCCTATTAGTAATTTAAAATTTTGGGACCGGCCGATTTAACCTTGGACGGTTTCGAAATTTCGTTGAGTGATTCAATTTATAATAAAGTGAACCCACTATATATAATAATATTGTATGGAGAACGCGACTTATTTCTAGTTAATAATGAAAAATAATACTCGATGTGAATTACTCAACTTTTAATATTTATTAATTTTTAAATAGATATTTATAAAATATTCTGTATAGTATTAAGCAATAAATAATGTGAAATAATATTGTGTTTTAAAAAAACCTTAACTTGTTTAACTGTTATATCAATTTAGTAATAAAGTGTACCGCCTTCTTTACTCTATTGTTAACTAAAGCACATAGTTTATAACTGGCGTTATCCTGGATTTGTTTAGAAAACAAAAGTTACAATGTAGTTGAATTATTTTGTGTTTTTATAAAAATCGTTTTACCATGATATCATTCAGTACATTTTAACGCTTTAATGACAGTGATTAACTATAAACGCACTCGTTTATAACTGGAGAGGAATTTGGTTTGATTTCCGAAAAAAACAATATATACATAGGCACAGAAATGTAAACCGTAGTGCTAAGACTCTTTATGTCGTCGATTCTTGAGTCGATTAACATCACCTAGCGTTAATTGCAAACAGAAAGAGAAGATCGTTGGGTTAACTCGCAAATCATTCGTTAAGTTATCGCGCACAAATTAACTAGCTATAAAATTTTCAGAATGAGCAACAACGACGAATAGAATATTGACAAAAAACAATGCAAAATAACTATCAAACATGCCTGCATACAGAACAGTTAAAAATATTTTTTTAAACAATGAAATTCCACCACACAGAATGTTACTGATAACAAATCATTGAAGGGAGCCCCCCTATATAATATATCAAACAAGAAGTACTGGTTCTTTAGGATTTATGTAGAAAAAGGAATTTGCCGGTATCTGTAGCTAGTTATAGGCAAACTTCTTGAGCATTAAACAAGGGAGCGCGGCGGGGGGAAAGTTTGCAAATCTGGGACACAAACGTCAAATGATTTACCAATCACGCGATCGACACGTCACTCTCTCGCCGTACCCCCTCCCAGTGATACCTAAAAATCACTTCTGCGCATGCACGTTTGTTCAAAATGTTCGCCGGTATCTGTACCAATATTAAGTTAATTAGTATTCCTAGTAGGAAGAATTAAACTTAAGGCTGACCTTTACTGCCGGTAAAGCGGCGTTAAACGATGTATTGTTACACTAAAATTAGTGCGCGTCATCTCAGAAGGACGATGTGCCTACAAACAGACTCATTACAGACTCAGTCACTATTCATTGTAACACTCCCACGTTTATAAAGGTTGACCCTACACGCCAGCACGCATAGCGCATCCATACCTATACAGTGTTTGACAAAGGATTTTTAATGTAAGTAAAACCAGTTAAAAATCTTTTTATTAATATTTAAAATATTTTACCGCCAGGGTGGCCCTTTAAATTATAGAGTTATTAATATTCACTATTGTCCTCTCAAGTAGACTGCTATGAAACAACTAAATGCAAAAGATAGTGCCGGCGAGTTCTTTACAAGTCTTCTTTTCTTTATAAACTATAAAAAACGCACGAAGAAATTTAGACTTGTCTCATATGACACCAGACTTTTACAGCCAAAATATGTATATATGATGCACCTCTTTCGACTACTAAATTAAAACGTATTTTTAGTAATTGTTACATTCCGTCTAAGAACTGCGCCCGTACTCTGTAACTTCTAAAAGCGATACCTATATCGACGTTTATGTATGCAAGTTCAATGTAGTATCGCATCCTTCGAATCGTACGGGACAAAAAGTCATTAAGGGGAACTAGGCCGGATTGTAATTAAGCTCCTTCGGAAGTTTGAGAACTACTTATAAAAACGACAGTGTCGCCCTATATGAGAACATTAAAAAATGTAAATAGAAAAACCTTTTTATTTTTTACAAAACGCCGAAAATATTTCACATATTACGATTGTCTTCACAACAGTGTTGGCCTAGTGGCTTCAGCGTGCGACTCTCATCCTTGAGGTCGTAGGTTCGATCCCCGGCTGTGCACCAAAGGACTTTACTTCTATGTGCGCATTTAACATTCGCTCGAACGGTGAAGGAAAACATCGTGCGAAAACCGACATGTCTTAGACCCAAAAAGTCGACGGCGTGTGTCAGGCACTGGTGGCTGATCACCTACTTGCCAATTAGATTGAAAAATGATCATGAAACAGATTCAGGAATCTGAGGCCCAGACCTAAAAAAGGTTGTAGCGCCACTGATTTAATTTTTTTTACGATTGCCTTCATGTATAATTTAGCGTTTCATCGAGATTAAAGCACACATAGTTACATTTAGCATATGTTACTGACATAAGAAATATTATTTTGAGACTTAGAAATATACGCAGAATCCACGCTTGTTAACTACAATAATAGTTGGGGACAAGGACAAAGATGTCTAGTCGTTGATAAAACTATACTAAAAAAAATATAAATCTATTGCTTCTAGTTTCTGCATGTAACTCTTGAATACACCAAAATAGTAAATAAAATCAAAATGAATTTATTTATGTTGGTACAACACTTATGAACTGTAAAAAATAACGTTTATTTGTCTCTATAAAATTTAAGCACCGTAGGTAGGTACATCATATATCTCGCTATCTCTCTCTCGCTCATATTATGAGACGAATAATCAAGTAATTGTAATATTCCATAACAAAATGACCCTCGCTGCCTTATAGAATATAACTATGCTTACAATAATACAATGACATATACACGCGCAACATTACTTAAGAACTTATGCTAAGTTATCTGTCAGTAGATATACAAGTAACTTATTGTTCAAGACGGGAATTATGCTCAGGTTACAAACACGATTCTGCGAGGGTCAAACTAATTAGTTTTACCTTCACTAAGTAATTAATTAGTCACATAAAATTGCAATAAGATTTTTTAATATAGATAGGAATGATTTCCTGATTATTAATTGCGTATTAATCCAAAACAAAGGCCAATGTGCTGTTATTTATTATTTTTTCCGGAAATTCAAACTTTTCACCGTTACCAAAATAATTACGCAATGTTATCAAAGTTAATTAGTTATTTTTAATTTTCCAGGATGGGTAGATATCATAAGCTTATTTGGATTGTGAACGTATGGGCCGTAGTTATATATGTAATAGATGCAAAACCAACAATAAATTATGAAAGAAAAACACCAGATTCCAGGGACTTAGACACTGCGGGTTCTTCGTGTAAGTTATATTATACAAATTCAAAATCATTCGCTTATAAATTAATATGTGCGTACAAATATTCACTGTGCGTATATATTTCCGAGGCCCGCCACATTATCCAATATCGCACAAATAGATTTTCGTTAATTTAATAATTGTAATTAAAAAATTATTAGTTAAATTATTTTACCTTGATAAATGACTTGACGAAAAAAGTTTTGCAGTTGCCCAAGTTCAAACCTAAGTGTGGAGTCATGAACTGTTTTGCTGTTTCCATTTACCTATGTTTATAGGTAAAAATAGAGGTGAGTTGATTAATCCCAATTGTTTTGCAGATTCTCATCAATATTACGATTGGGGCGGAAATAACCCAGGTGGATATAGCTTTGGCGTTACTGGTAATGGAGTGTTAGACGATCCAAGATTAGAATACGATTCTAGACCAAACACTATAAATGATGGCTATTATCCTGAAGTTGATAAAAATAATTACAATAGAGATGTTGGTTATCACAGCTTAGGTGGGTTTGGAGGTTATGGAGGAAATGGTGGTAATGGGGGCCTGAATTCGTACTATGGTTATAATAATCCACATTATCAAGAAGCCAACCATCTTGGTTTTGGGTACTATAAAAAGTTTGGAAACGGGAATATTTATAGCAGTGGCGTAACACCGAACTTGGTAGTAGGTTATCGTGGGTATTCAAGACGATAGATTACGAAATTATCACGATGTTATTCTTTGTCTAATAATGTAAATAAGTTAATTAATAATTTGTATAATTGCAACGTAAGTGATAAAAACAAAAGCTTCAATAGCCTTTTGAGATTAAGTATCTAAGTGGTTAAAAACATGAACTTTATATTTAAATGGTTGACACCAAAGAATGTCCAAAGGAATTAAATTGTTTAAAATGCAAGTTGTTTGTTTCAAATAATAAATAAAAAAATATAATTTGCAAACTTTATTAACTAACGAAGACTTCACTAATGAAGAAATAGTCAATTGTAAAAATTACACATACATTCACTGACCATGTATACAGTGCAAATTAAATATAATTATTAAAAATTTCTACACTTAAAACGTGATAAAATTCATTTATCCTTTAAAATAAGCTTAATATGCCATGCAACATTAAAAAAATAGTTTTAAGGTGAGAAAATTTTATTCTGATCCAGAAGCACTTGTTTGTTTTTTCATAGACTTAAGCGCTCTTTCCCGGAGTTTTTTTTCCAAGTCTTCGTTATTAACTTTCCCTTCTTCCTCTTCTTCAGCTTCCTCGCTTTCTGACGAATCATCCTTCTTTTTGGATGTTTTCTTATGTTTCTTATGCTTCTTGTGTTTCTTTGAATGTTTCTTGTGCTTTTTAGCACGTTTCTTCTTAGGCTCATCGCTTTCTGATTCGGATTCAGATTCCGAAGCCTTCTTTCTTGCCTTTTTCTTCGATACTTGATCACTATCAGATGACGACTCTTCTTTTTCACGTTTCTTACCTTTTCTTTCGCTTTCATCTCGCGATTTTGGTTTCATTTCATCAATTTGTTTGACCTTGGTAGATTTTTCATCTCGCTTTGACTTTGCATCTGGTGATGTGACCTTTGCGACATCTACTTTTTTACGTCTTTGCTCTTTATCAGACGAAGATTCATGTTTATTTTTCTTTTTATTTGATTTATCGTCACTTTCCGAGCTATCCTCATTGGAATCCTCAGAATTTTCCGTTTTCTTAGATTTACTTTTTGTGTCCAATTTTTCTGATTTCGAATGGTCAACGCTATCTTTACGTTTCTTAGATTTCTTATCAGTGTCAGATTCTTCTGGAATGTTTTTCTGTTTAGTTTTAGAACTTTTGTGTTTAACCTCTTCTTCAGAGCTAGATTCTGAGCTGGAAGAACGCGCTCTCTTCTTGCGGGATTTCTTTGCGAGCTTTTTCTTGGCATTTTTCTTGCTCTTCTTCTTTCTATCTTCTTCTGAGTCACTGGAAGACGAGTCTTCAGAATCACTGTCACTTGAAGACGTATCTTTTTTCGCCTTTTTAGAGCGTTTTGAGCTGGACTTATCCTTACGTTTAAGTTTTGCTTTGCTTTTTGATTTAGGAGCTTCCTCGCTGCTTTCGCTTTCCGATTCTGATGCTTTGGGCTTGCGTTTCTTCTTTACTTCTTCCACCTTCGTCTCTTCCTGTTCTTTATCTGAAGCTTCGTCTCCGGATTTCTTAAAATCTCTCTGTCGTCTTACAAACGGTGATGGAGTTCGGGTAAGGCTCTTTGAATAATCTCTGAGAACCGGAATGGGAATAAAGTCGTCATCGTCCGATGTATGAACGGATTTAGCCCGAGTATCGTCTTGTGATGCCGACTTGTCGTTGGCGACAGATGATTCGCGACTTGAACTGGAGACTTGGACCTTAGCGGTCTCCTCACGTGGCAACGAAACGCGCTCGATTGACACTGGCCGTAGTTTTTCCAAGTTTTCTGGAAATTCAAGAAGTTGATATAAATTGTACTATTTTACTGTTTATTAGCTTTATTATTAAAAAAAATGGTGCGTGTACTTATGTACGCGCGTAAGAAGTTATACTTCTTTGGCTATCTTTATTTTTATTAAATAGTAAATAATTAATAATTAATATTTAGCGTTAATAATTTAACAATATTTAATATTTAATATTTAGTATATTATTCAATTATTAATTAATATTAATAATATTTCTTATTTTATTATATTATTAATTCAATTTAATAACTGGGTAGGTTTCATAACCTAACTAAGTAACAATAGGTCTTTGTAAAAAAGCATTGCTAAATTTCTTTGAAAAAATAATTAAAACTCCTTTATTTGTTTAAAAGGTACTACAAATGTCATTATGGTCATTCAAAATTCTTTGCATAGCTGCTAACGTCACGCATATTCTATTTATTTTTACTTGTAGATTGTCTTATTCCCATCTCGCTCGCGCACACTCGACGCCCATACTGATAATTTTGTGTCACGGTGCGCGCGCATCGTAAAATTTCACTCTCATAAATTTTTCATAACGCGCCTAAAGAAGTATAACTTCAAAAATTGAATATTAATTATTTTTCGTGATAGCTTAAGAAAATATGTCTTAAATCTGAATGTTTATATAATTTATTTATATATATAATATATTAAGCAAATAAAAGTTTAATTAAATTTACCTTTCCTTGGTATCGAAACCGACTTTTCTAAGCGTTCCTTAATGAGATCTGTGGATCTCCTGTCACGAGACTTCCGGTCCCTTGATCTCCTATCCTTAGTACGGTCACGAGATCTCCTTTCCCTGCAAGAAAAGTTTCATTTTAATAATAAAAAGAATAATGTTCCAACTACTGCAAAAAATTGAAAAATAATTTAAAATCCTTCAGTTTCGTTTGCTAGAACTACTGTTTGTTTATTTATTTGCTCAACGGTATTCCTACAGCTACTTACTAAACAATATTCAAACAATTACACTGTACACAAAAGCCAAAAACGGAATACACATTTAAACATACACAAAGCACAGTTACACCTATACAAATCCAAAAAATATACAAAGAATATATGTATTTATAATAAATTCTAAGTTCTAAAGAATATGAGAGAAACAAGTGTTACTGAGAATTTAACCCAGTAATGCCTATCAAAATGCACTTTAATATATAAATTAAAATCTCACCTGGAACGGTCCCTAGAGCGTCTGTCCTTTGACCTTCTGTCGCGGGAACGCCGGTCACGTGACCTGCGTCCCGAGCGACGCACTGACCGTGACCTCCTGCGAGACCTTGAGCGACGACGATCACGATCACGCGACCTGCCGAGGTATTCATAATTAAAATAGGTAAAGGGATGTATAATTATTATTATTATTATTATAATTTAACTTAAAACCAACCTCTTACATACAAACAATAATAAATTTTCAGAAAACAAAAAATTTATTAATTATTATAATTGAATTAAATCTTTGAAATGCATAAACAATTAACATACACAATGATTTTAGAAACATAATATATTCCGCATTACTAATAAAGATTCTTTAATTAAACATAACATTTTTCAAGCCTAAATTTAAAAAAAAAAGTCTTAAAAATCAAGTATGTACATAAATAAAAACTTGTGACTTGAAAATGTGTCATTTATATATTTAGACTATGATATAAACATTTTTAAACGCACAAAGAATTCTTATTAGTAAATGCTGAATAAAATAAAACAACCAAAAATTTTACCTGTCTCTAGAACGTCGTCGAGAGCGTGAACGGGAACGTCTACGTCTTTCAAGCGATCGGCGACGTTCGCGTGACCTGAATTTGTATTTTATCTCACTACTAATGTTTAACTCAAAAAAAAAAAAGAAAATAGCAACTGGTAGGTAGTTCAATGAATGTTACAAAAGCCGCTGAAATATTGATAGAGAAGATTTTAGAGAGACGCTTTATTTTAATATCTCCGTTATATTTGAGAGGCTTTTGGGAACTCAAACTCGCCACTCCTTAACATCTACCAAATGTATATTTAAATAATAAATCAAATAATATTTTTTTCACATTGGTGTATAAACATAAAAAAAAATGTCTAACAATATTAATTCCAAAAACCTTTTAATTAAAAAAACCGCCTATCATGATTATATTATATAAAAATGTCAGAGTACCTTGTATTGTTTAGAGACAAAAATCTAATTTCAATGAACTACAAAATATTCAAATCCAACATGACAGATAAATTTACTCTGACGGATATTCGTTATATTTGACGCCATTTTCGGATAGAAATTAAATACAAGGCCCCTTTAAAATAGTATTTCATTATGATCATACCTATCCCTCCTGTCTCTCTCGCGACGCCTGCGCTCTCTTTCTCTCTCTCGCTCCCTCTCCCTCTCGCGTTCTCGTTCTCTCTCTCGCCGCTCGATTGACCGTCGACGGCTACCACGACGGCGAGACTTGCTTCTGTAAAATATTAATTAAGACTTAATAAATCGGACGGCACTAATACATTGCGTTTTAAAATTGTAAGGCATACATAATACCTGAAGATTGAAAGAATTTTGAATTTATTCTTTACCAAACTTCAAAAATACCTATGGTTATCAACAAGGCTTTTCATCTGAGTTCAACAGAATAATAGGATAACCTTTGAAATATTACATACATAAATATATATAATAAATGTAGATTATATCTGATATTTCATATAACACACGGTCGTATAACTTAATAAAGTACCTCTCTCTACGAGAGCTTCGTCGCGGGCTGACGCTGGTCGAAGAGTCCCGGTTGGAGCGATAGTGACGCTTCTTGTGTGAGGTCGGCTTCTTGATGCTGCCACCTGAAGAGCAATAAATTAACATAAGTTAAAAACCCAGCTTTCAACTTAAAAAAACTTTTCTAAAAGTCCCAAGTCATTTAAATTTTTTACTAATATTTTGAGGTTATGGAATCCATATCGACTAAATTTAGAAATAATATACCATTTAAATCCAAGAAGAATTCCATCCAAAAGGGAAAAAAATAAACAACAAAGTATAAAGGTCTTACGTGAAGACGCCGAAGATGATCTCCGATCACTAGATTCGCGATGATTCTTCTCCGCCGGCTTCTCCTCGTTTTCCTTGTCGTTCTTCTCGGACCTACATTTTGAGTATATTTTGTTTTAATTATTATTTTTAAAATTATTGATATAAAAAGTAGAGTAATGTACAATATAATATACCTAAAATACATATAAGTCTTACAATAATTAAAAACACCCAAATTTTAATACATTGTAGTATAAACAAAACACATACCGCGCTGGAGACGCAGATCTAGATTTGTCATCTTTCTTCTCCTCATTCTGCTCGTTCTCCTCCTTCACATCGCTGTGGTTCAGCTCTTCGCTTCGCTCGGTCTTCTCTTCTTTCACCTCCACATCTTCAGCCTTCTCTGGTGACTTGCCGTTTTCTAGTTCAAAAACATAATAAATTAACAGAGACTGATGTTGAAATTGTCTTATCATAAATAAAAACCAGTGGCGTTACAAGTTTTTAGGTCGCGGCCTCAGATTTCTGTCTGTTTCGTGATCTTTTTTTTTTTTTTCTAAGACACGCCGACGATTTTTGGGGATTCCGGTTTCCTCACGATGTTTTCTTTCACCGTACGAGAGAGTGGTAAATGAGCACAAAGACAGAAAGTTTATTCCGGGGACCGAACATACTCTTAGCAGTACTCTAATAAATAACCCTTATTAAATTTCAAAATATTTTCTTTATTATGCAGAAGAATAAGCGTTGTATAATATAATACTTGTATTACCTTTGGGTTCAGGTTCAGGTAATTTGATGTCATCAACGGGCGGCGGTGGCTTCGGTACGCTCCTGTCACGACTCTTACGCCGGGAACGACGCGGGCTGCTACCGCGATACCTATTAAATACATTCATTTATGTTATTCATAGACTAGCAAGACCGTGTATACAGGCCGCATATTTCTACAATAAAAAACACGTTAGCACAAAGAGTACGTAGTTATCGTAATAAAAAGGATACAAGTTAATTTAGTATCCTCAAAGACAAGGAGACCCTATAGCTCCAAAAAATTTTACTGCAGCATTGGAAAAGGTTTTACGAAATAAAGAATGAGATTAATATAAATGGAAATAAAAAAAACTTACTTCCTGTCATTAGATCTATCTCGATCCCTTGATCTTGACCTTGATCGGCGACGATCACGCGAACGTCGAGAGCGAGACCGCGATCTCCTTCTGTCTCTGTCTTTGTCCTTATCCTTCTGCTGTTCTTCCTTAAAATAAAAATTAAGGAATTTCGTGAAATTAAAATGTTAAGAAAATCTAATTATACTACAGAAATTGAAGCCACTATCAGCTTATGTTGACATCATATGTAATAATCTTTAGTCTACACTTGTCACTAACATAATAATTTTTTTTTAAAAAGGTATATCAAACTCGATTTAATAATTTTAACACTATGAACTGAAAAATAAATAATTTTTTATAATGTTTGGGCAGGATTTTAATAAATTACAAACCATGCGTTTCTTAATCTCTTCTTTTTTCTGCTGTGTGAAAGACTCCGGGATGCCATTCTCACTCGCCTGTGCACTCAGCAATAGCTCCCATAGCTCCCCCATAAACAGCCGGGCATTCTTCCCATTGAGAAACCCCGTCAGGTTGATCTGCATCTTCTTTGGGCAAGGAAACTGGGGACAGGAGTGGTAAAAAAAAACAAATTAATTTCTTGAACACACCCTCACTAACATTCCTAATGGTTGCCCTTATAGCCTCTTTCCTCTTTTCAAATTCTTGTTCTTTCACATGAAGACGATCAGAGCTTGTTAATTTGATCAGATGTTTGTCTCAACTGACATGACTCTAGTAGGGAAGTGGGCAACATTAAATACATCATTATCGTTGTTGTGGAGGCTTCAGCAGCGATGTGATTGCAGCAGACGAAGGCAGCATGAAGACGCAGTGAAGACAATAACGATGACTGGATACACTGCATGTAGACACCAACTGATGCACGCTGACTGTAGATACTTCTTTCTTGAATCCCGTATCTGTAAGGGTTTTGCGAACACAACCACATTATGCTGACCGCAAAGCCTACGGGGGAACTTCCTTACCAGGAGTCATGTCACTCTGACCGCCTTGTAAGATATTTTAGGTTTGTATTTGCTGAGGCGTGTCCTTTAATACTGAATTATCATTAAGTACTAAATTTCCCCGTAAATACCGATTGATAATGCTAAGGGCCTCCGCAAGGTGTAGTGGAGCGCGACGGCAGCGGGCGGCTCGGGCTGGGGGCTGGCGGCAGCGGGCTAACCGGCGACCAAAAAATAGCCATACGCAATCAATCACATATCACAATATTCATCTACAGTTTCTTTATCAACGACGTTGCGACTGCCTATACAACAACTATGATGTGTAAAGAAACTGCAATGATTACATAGCTTGAATAAAAGATAAATTATAGAAAGTATAAGCCACCTTTTCCTCCAGTTGATTGTTGACATAGTCGATAACAACATCATCTTCCATCTTCAGGATTTCTGTGATTTTCTGTGTGATCCATGGCTTCAACACGTCAAGCTTCACCTTTGACATGTCCACCTAAACATATGGTACTTTGTTATGGATAATTTAAATATTATAACAAAGCAACAACCCAATTTCTTATATTATTGTATAGTAATGTTTAACTAGATAGATGTTAATATACAAATAATTCAAAAGGACTCAATACAAAGATAAGACAATCATTAACATAGAGTAAGAACTGCTATACAGTCCATTTATTGTGAATGGATTTAAAAGGTAAACAAAGATGGTGTACTAGTTTTGGTTTAATTTTCTACTTAAATTGACTACCAACACTTAAGGATGGTTAATTAATATTATATAAACAATAAAATATACTTAATCATGTACTAAAGGATATTATTATTTATTATATTATTATTTTAAATTCAACAGTTTTTAACTCCTTAGGTAATTATTATTTAGCTAGCTTTATCCAAAAATACTCTTATATAAAGGTATGATGATTTAAGTATGAATCAAATTACTTAAAAAATAATAATAAAAATATTTTATATTTTTTTATTATATTTTATGAAATTTCATCAATCATGCTGTAGTATACAGCTCTTTGATAACATCATACCATATAAACACTAACAGAATATTGATATGTGAAACCGGCAAGCTAATTTTGCAACATATTTCTGCAATAATTAATGGTTTTGTGGATTTTTTAAATTTAAAATGTTTAAATTCATGTTGTTGTTTAATTTGACTTTACATTAAATCAATGCAGATTAAATGGACTGTATTTGTGTAACTGTATTTGTTAGAGATAGACAACTTAAATTGCAAATAGCACAGATATTTTTAGAACTTCAAAGATATTTAAGTTTTTTACATTAGTTTGGTAACAGGTTGCCAGTTATAAATAAATTAAAGATATATATAGCATACAATAATCACAATAAATGTGCAAAGTTTAACTCTTTAAATAGATATAAGCCAATTAATTAAAAGATAATTATCTTACTGGGGTTTCAATAATTTTCCTAAACTAACATACGGTTACGATTACCCCAATTACGGTTTGAGCAAAAAGGTTTCATTGTCACATTTTTTTAAATATTTAAATACTAGGAATTAAGTTTGATTTTTTTAATGCTGAAACTTGCAACTAACCTGCTGTGTCAAACAATCACCAAACTTCATTTGCTTCATGAGCTTCTTCTCCTTATCGCTGAAGCGGGTATCTTGTTCTGTGCTGGTTCCCTATTTAAAATAGCTTCAGGTTAGTAAATAATTAAATTTTATCAAGTTTATGGCAGAACTCATACAATCAATGCCTGGTTTATTGAGGAATATCTGGGTTTGGGTTTTACTATTCTAGGAAAATCCAGGTTGGTGCCTTATCTATAACAATAAATGTTGGGTCACAAAAGGAAGTAACGAGTAAGTAGAAAAGTAATGGAATTACTTTTGAGGGTCGGAGGAAGTAGTAAGAGGAATTAATGCATGCCTGGTTATTTGGAGATACGGTTTAAATCACTTTGCATTAATTGATTTACATCTAAGTAATAAAATATGTAGAAATGCTTATCAAACCAGGTTTGAGGTTAGTATTGCTGCCCTATTCAGAGATATTTAAAATCTTATGGATAATTTTAAATGCGATTCACTAATGTAATAACGTTGGTTTTAAATATCTAGCGGATTCTTACCGTATACATCAACATTTTGAATATTTGAAAGAAATCGATAAATCAATAAAAATTGTGCGGCAAGGAAACTCCCAGCCAAGAAACGCTTAAGTTAATATCAAGTCTGTTGCAAACGAATCTACATAGAACACTTATAAACGTTAAACATTTCAAGACACAATATTTTCACATTGTACACTCTTAAATATAGCAAACGCAATAAATATAACCAGTGTGACTAACCGCCATATTCATAGAAGCACAAAATGGCCGCTTTGAGCTTAACGTTTCCAGCGTGTGCCTATTTCATGCTTTGTTCAAAAGACATTGATCGTCAGTGTGACCAGATTTCATTTGACGAATCTACTGCTCGTGGAGGTTAAAAACTACTGAATTCTACCGAAAGGAACGAGAAAATACAAAAAATCTATTATATTTTTTTGCTGTTGGTTTACAACGTAAAACATGAATTTTCTTGATTAAACGATAAAATAATAAAAGTAGTAAAGATTAATTAAAGAAGCGAAGTTTTTTTTAATTTAATTCTTACTACAATTTTTTTTAAATTAATAATAATAAAATGAAACTTAAAGCTAAGATTTTTCGTCGTTATGTTGGATATTGTCATAAAGCTGTTTTGAGTCCATTAGCTTGATCATACTTTTGTCAGGATCAAATCTGCTACATCCTCCTTCCAACTGTCGTAGCCCCTCTTTTCCATGCATAATTGCAGCAACATTCTTGTTATTAAAACGATTTCTATCTTGACTTTTAATTCTATTAATATCGGAAAATATTCTTTCAACTTTGGCGTTAGACAGAGGTAGTATTGTCATTTGCTTCACAAACCGGGCCAAATTGCCATATTTTGGTTTGCTATTCGCATCGCAAATTTGGCTGACCTCACTCCAAAATTTATCCACCATAAAATTTTCAGAAGTTGAACTCGAAGTTGACAATAAATTAGACACGGAAACATCTAATTTTAATTCCCTATATTCGTTGTCAACAATTTGCATATTTTCTGTTGTAACTAAGTTAGGAAACCTTTGTAGTATTTTTTATTAGAGTTCGAAATTCACCATACACTGCCTTTTGGGGATCGATAAACGACAAATCCTGCAAGAAATTATCTTGTACAGGCAGTCTTTGGAGAAATTGTTTACTTAGCTCGATCAAAAATGCTTGACATCTGTTAAGAAACTCTTCAATTTTAGATTTCATTCGAACATCATCTTTTAATAATTCCAATGTTATGGCTACGTTTGTGCCCAGGTACATGTTTTGTATAGGAAGGAAATGCATACTTGAACTGGGATCTATTGACTGAAGCGAAGTAGTTTTAATATAATTTATCTTCATAAAACAACTCAAAATGGAACTCATCATGTTTTGTATATCTGTGTCAATTTTATGAATGAGCGTCTGATCACTTTGAAAAATAACGTTAAATTTTGTAGTTATGGGTAATATAAAATCTAAAAAGGAAAGATAAAGTTTTGTTTCATCGCTGTTAAGGTGATCAAATATAAATTGACAAGTAGCATTTGCATTCTTATTTCCTAAAAACTCATTTTGAAAAAAAGTTTTAATGCTGACCACTGCTCTATAATTCGGTGAATGCATTGATGTAGAGAAAGCCACCTGATATCATAGTGACGAAGCATATGGTGAGTTGGAGTGTCAGTAAAATTTTGAAATTCGACAAACTCTCTTTGACGTTGGCTACTGTGAGAGAAGTATGAATAAACATCTTTGACAAACAACTCTATAGAACGAGGTAATTTTTTGCATGCATAACTTACTGAAAGATTTGTTGAGTGGCAAATACATTTAAAAAAATACAGTTTGGGTTGACTTCCCTAATTTTAGATACCACGCTATTCCTTTCGCCAAACATAACATTCGTTGTATCAGCAGCGAACCCTATTAAATTTTCTATGTTAAGGTTTCTTTCAGATAAGGCACATGTTAAACTATCAAACAAATACTGCGCAGTTTCACCTTTTAAGTCCACCATACACAAAAATTTTGTTTGTGGAGATTGCAATTTTTCTGAGTAGTACTTTATTGCTGCTGCAAGTACCTTGGTAGTACTGACATCTGTGCTTTCGTCGATAATGAGCGAAAATACTGGGCTTCTCTCAGTTTCATTTTCCAGCCTTGGACGTAATTCTGCAAGCATTTTTTCTTCGAAGTTATTGCCTAAGACGTTGTAAGCAATTGCGGCAGATTTAGTTCTTCTACAGGAAAAACGTTTTGCGATTTCAGAGTCGTGAAATGCCCTTGAAATAACTTCGCTTACGTGATCCATTACGCGAAAAGGAATATTATGTTCCACTAATGCAGCTACAATGCTGATTTCTGCTTTTTTACTTCTTCCGAAATAGTTGATGTTTTAAAAATCGTATCAATCTGTAAACAAAAAAGTTAAAAATAAGTATGCAGGACAAAAAAAAAAGTCAAAAACTAAGCAATCTTAATATATATAAATCTCGTATCACAATGTTTGTCCTCAATGGACTCCTAAACTACCGAACCGATATCAATCAAATTTGCACACCGTGTGTAGTTTGATCCAAATTAAAAGGTAGTTTAAATCTCAAATTATAGTCGCAATATTATTTTATTGCAAAATATTTGTTTATTATTTGATACAATTCTAACAGATGGCGCTGTGTTATAAGTATCAACGTTTCACATAAGCTTTCATCTACCTTTAAGATAAGTTCTCCTACCCCTAACAGATGGCGCTGTGTTAAAAGTATCAACGTTTCACATAAGCTACCTTTCACATACGTTCTCCTACCGTTTCCCTTGAATAGTTTACTACTATGTAATATAACAAAAACCTTAGCCACAGCAACGCTTGGCCGAGTCTGCTAGTTTTAATATATCATTTAAATAAATAAACATGCATAAACACACATAGTTGTATAATAATAATTGTTATGTAAATGTGTAGATAATAAATGATCGTTAAATTTGAGATTGGATAGATGTATCTACCAGACATATAACCCACATGTCACAACTGACAATGACATAAGAATTAAGATACAGTTAATCGAAAACACAGATTAGTTAATTGAAAATGTCAACTGAGTTTTCGGAACTTCGTATGGAGAATGGAAATTATATATATTATGTCGCAGTAAGGTAGTTAAATCAGAGAGTTAATTGACACCAGAGCAGGTTTTATTTATTTTTATTTAAAGAAACAAATCAAAATAAATATATTTTTATTATCTATTCATTTTCCTAAATAATGAAATATTAAACATATATTTTTAGGAAAATATATAAATATGGTAGGGGAGCCCACGATGCTAAATGGGGATTTACTCGAGCGTCGTAGAGACCTATTGGAATGCAAAGCTTAGATAAAAAGAAGAAAAAAATGTTATATGATAAATTCCTTTTCATCGGTGGGGGAAGCGGCTATAGATAGTTAAATATGTAAAAAAAAATTGTTGCATGGACATCCTCGAGCGCGTCAGATATTGATAGCATCTATGCCCTACGTATTTTTAATAATGTACGTATGTTAATCTGATCGTTTGCATGATGCGGGTGGTTGTATTTAAGTGTTGAAAATTTAAAAAAAAAAAATTTATCGAGCGCGTCAGATTTTCTAAGGGAGTGTTAAGTGCACCAAAAAAAAGCTCTCATTCACTAATCTGACGATTTCGATGGGACGCAAACCCACAGCCATTTTCTTAATTTGCAAAAAAAATCGCAATTTTGAAATACTCAAGCGCGTCAGATTAAGATATATGTGGTTCATCTTTATGTTCTAAACGTACTGTCTCATAATCTGACGATTATCTAGAGGGATTCGCCTGATCTGACAAAAAAAAATAGAAAAACGGTTCACCTAAAGGGCCATCCCTGCAACTTCCCGCTAATTCCATTCCTGGGCGCTTAAAATTGATATTTTGAGCTCGCTGAGTTCAAAGAAATAACATTTCTATGCATTTGAGCTCTCCCAGCTCGAAAGTCTGATAGAAGTTTCATAGAACACTATTTTTGGAATTTTCAAACCTCAATAACTTTTGAATGGATCAAGCAATTTTCACGCGGTTGGCGGCATTCGACGCAGTTTTATCATTCTCATAAGTGATTTTGCAATTTTAATTGATCGAACCACAAATTTCGGAGTAATCTCGAAAAAACACTTTTTCGGGTTTCTTTCGTGTACGATATCTCTCGAACGAATCAACCGCTTTTGACCAGCTTGGTGGCGATCGACGTGGTTTTTCAAGCTCAAAGGCGGATTAGTTTTTGAAGTTGATCGATAAAGAAACCACTTTAAAAAAAAATATTTCTTATTTTTTTAAGATTTTTCAAAATTTCTCAAAATCTATCGGTCCGAATCGGTTCAAATTCACAGGAAATGTAATTTTGAGGGAAATATTTAGAACGCCGTTTAGTAGATTCCGATCGGTTTAAGGAAATGTAGGCATCACGCAGCTGAACGCATTTAACTTTATCGACGAATTTTTGTTATTTCGGCTTGCGGAAATCGTCAGATTATATATTTTTCATTATTCTTGAATTATTTCCTTCAAAATAAAAAAAAAATTAGCTACGCTCGAGAATGTCGAGATGACGTTTTTTTTTACAACTTTGTTGCCCTCCCTTTTTTCCGTCACTCTCAAATTGTCAGATTAGTGGAATATACACTTTTTAGGATGTAATTAACTCACCCTACCTTAATCTGACGCGCTCGGGAATTTCTGATGGTCAATTTTTTTTTACTAAACTGATCCTGTCTCCTTCACGTGCGGCCTTATATATGGGCCTCATATTTTGTGGAGGTACTTAACCGGGTACAAGGTATCCCCCTATATATTAATCTGCCGCGCTTTAGTAAATCCCGAAATCCCCTCTTGGGCTCCCCTACCATACAATTTTTTTCCAAATATCTTGGTCACCCTACCAAAGTTGAAATGCGTCTTGTTGTCTAGGAACGTTTAGGAAACTCGTTAAACGTTTCGTTCAGTCACTTGTCTTACGGAACTTTAGCGAGTTGATTGAATATCGATCTTTAATTAACTGTCTAGAGATTCAATTAATTCTCTGATTTTACTACTTTACTGCGACATATACATATCTAGGCCTACTTGATAGACTAGTGTGCAACAAGGTGCCCAAAGATAAGATATACGATGCAGAAAAGAATCTATACTTAAGATATAAACTTTTTAAAGTTTTTAGGGGCTTGAGACATTAAACAGTCGAACCTAAAACTAAGCCCCTGAAATTCATCATTCCCCTAATTTCCCTGCTTTTTTAGTGGATATAGCCGAGAGATGGCAAATGACAGTTAACAATTGTGTTAGTCATTTGAAGTTTGATTAGCAGCATAATGCATATTTTTTAAATTAAAAATAGTGAATACTTTCATTTCGTTGTAGACGGGTGTCTCGTACGATGTGCATAATAAGATTTTTCACGTGTGAGGCTTTTAGTGCTCATAAAACTAAAGAAATACTTGAAAAACTTAAAAGAGTAGACAATGATATCGCAGCTCTATCGACTGAACTTTGCTATCACGTGGAAATAGCAGAAGGATGTGATTATTTGAATATTAATCAAATTAAAATCTTACAGTGGTTACTAAGTTCTCCCTTGCAACCGCATTCCTTAAAAAACGAGTCGGTTTACAAGTTTGTAAAAGACGATCAACTAATAATTGAAATTGGACCGAGGCGAGTTAAACCAACATTAATTGGGAATTCAAGTGTTATTATAATTTTAGTGTAAAATACGAATATATATCACTCGCAAAATTATTTCTAGGTTTAACTTCTCCACTGCTGATTCAAGTAACTCAGTTCAAATCTGCAAAAGTGTTGGGCTGCATGATGTGGTGCGCCTGGAGGTATCCACCCGTTACCTTATTACATTTAAAAGTTCTAAAGTGGTCAATAAAAAAGTATTTGAGGATCTTGCTGCATCTCTACATGACAGAATGACTCAATGTATTTATACAAAGGAAAACCTTCCCAGGCATAGTTTTAATGAAGGTCTGCCGAAAGACTTGGAGCCATGGTATGTTGTGCCTCTTAAAAATGAAGGTATGGCTGCCATGAAAAAAGTCAATCAGAAGCTAGGTACGTAACCACCTTTATCTTGTACTGTATTGAAAGTTTAAAAAAATATTCTGCAATAAGTAGGGCCCTATATACCTAAAGGTTTTTGATTATATAATTTGTTACATAGGTTTAGCATTTGATAGTTGGGATATGCAATTCTATATGGACCTTTTTGTGAATAAACTGAAGAGGGATCCTACTAGCGTGGAACTCTTTGACCTAGCTCAGAGCAACAGTGAACATTCAAGGCATTGGTTTTTCAAGGTAATTATAATTTTTTACTAAGTGGCCATCAATGATCAATTCTTGTTTTCATAAAATTTGTATAAATATAAAGTATGTCACCTGCCTGCTTGTATACCCTGTCCTGTTCCATACAAATAATGTATGTAGTTCCTCACAAACAGCTATTGTTAGCCAATTTTAATGAAACTTACTATAAGTATTCGTTTTATCTCAATCAACTTATAAGCATCTGGGTAAGTAGCATGCTATAATTCTTATCAATGGTTGCAGGGTCAAATGATATTAGATGGTGTGAAAATAGATGAGTCTTTGATAGACATGGTTGCATCAACTCAAAAATATTCCAATGATAATAATGTCATTAAATTTGGGGATAATAGCAGGTATTTTAAGTATTAATATTTCTCAATCTTATCACTATGACGCTGATAGGAGGGCAGAGGTCAATTACCTCGGTTTAAATAGCTCAATGATTGCTGATTTAATAACTTATTTTTATTACATGTTAGGTAATCAATTTTCGTTCATAAAACATCTGTTACGATTTATGAACTAATTGACCTTTCAAGTTAATAATTGAAAACTTCCATTGAGTTTTCAGTTTTTGAGAATTGGTGAAAAACACTTTGGCACAAAAGTAATCAATTTACTTCTAGAAGAAATTATTGAACTAAATAGCTTCGTTCCTACTATAGAAATATAATAGACCTATATCTTTCATTGATATAATCACTTCTGTACTTAAGTATTGAAATGCTTATGTTTTCTAGCTTTTTTAACGACAATATTTAATGTAATGTAATAATTTAATATGTATGGCTAATGTGTCAGATCCAGTTTACTGAATAACTTACTAAGTATAATAAAAATTACATTAGGTCCCTAACATTAAGAAAACTGGCTATTAAGATATCAACTTAAGATCAGGAGGTATATAACATTTAATATTGCAGTGCAATTAAAGGATTCAAGCATACAAAACTCAGACCAAGCAATGTTAGGGAACCATCACAAGTACTCACGGAAGTGACTGAATCAGATATAATTTTCACTGCGGAGACTCATAATATGCCCACAGCCGTGGCTCCATTCAGTGGAGCTACAACTGGTACTGGAGGAAGGATAAGAGATGTCCAGGGAGTAGGAAGGGGCGGTCATACAGTGGCCGGAACTGCCGGGTATAGTGTGGGCAATTTGTTGATACCAGGTATGAATTAATCATAAATTTTTATCTTCATTATTTTGCTGATGGTATAAATTTACTGGACTCTGTTGATAAATATTTAACAGATGTCTGTAACATTAATGTAAAACCTCTATTTATATAACACAATCAGTCTTATTCTTTTAACTAAAGTACTCTTCTGTCATATTGCTTTGTTTGTAACATTACAGAAGGCGAGTTTAGAAGTGATCTGTAATTTGTAAATGTTCCATTCAAATTTGTAATTTAATCTTTCATAAGAATGATAATAATAATTTAAAATATATAGATTTTAATTTGAAATATATAGATTATGTTGATCACATAATCGTTGAAAGTAAATGTAAATTGTTACGTTCATAAAGTTGCTAAACATGAATTGTATATTAATACAGAACCTTGCACATTAATTGTAGACTTTGCTTACAAAGTTTAAATCTCTTTATGCTTAAGAAAAAACCAGCTAAACAAATAACTCATATTTTAATGAATGGTAATTGATGAGCTGGGTTTTTAAATATTTGCTTGCTGTGTTTTCAAGTTAGTAATAATTATTACTTTGAAGAATATTAACAATCTTGTTAATAGTGTTTCTGGGCCTACTGGTGTTTATCTTTTGTTTTGCCAAAGAGATTTTTTGTTAATCGACCAATGACCTCAGACCTAATCAAATAGACTGCGAACATGATGTAATAATATTGTGCCATATACGCAACTCTTTCTTATTAATATGAAAACAACTGATTACGTATTTACTTGTTGGCGCGTAGATTGTTTTCCTATTATTGAATTTTTCTTATCAGCTGAAACTAAAGCAAATTAAGTAAGGTCAAATCACGGGATCATAAATCACAATCAATAAATAATACAAAATTTAAATATTTTTTTTTCCATAATGCTTAATGTATTTGACATATACGAAATGTTAGCGTTTAAAAACCTTAAATTTGATTGCATGAGAATCTCAAATTTTGATTAATTTTAAACTGATACCACAGTAATTTATTTATGTACATTTCGTTACCTTAATTGTACAATAAACTGGTTACATAAACTATTCGGCAATGGTCGGCCTTATTGCTAACAAACAATTTCTATTTCAACTATTTAATTAAAATTATCAAATAGGGTCACACAATTAAAATAATGTTATAGATGTAAACGCGAATTTATTTCATTATTCTCAAATAACTATGTTTCGAACACATCAGTTGTGACCAGCAAAGTTAAAAAAAAATGTTTTACTTTACATAATCTCTGTTTAAGTTTACACTTACTTTTAGTTTCATAATATTATTCACATTTTCTAGCTTTTTTGTTGAAGAATGGAAGATTCGTATCATTTACGACTCCGTATGGAATCTAGGCTTACCTCTTATGCTCCTAGTTACGCGCATATAATGCACTTTCTACTTTCCGGATTAAAGCATTTATGATCTTTTTAATTATAACAAGGACCGCGGATAATATTATGTCGTCCTATTACCAAAACAATAAAGTAATATAACATTCAATTCTAAATAATTGTAATAATAATAAAATAATATATATTTTTGTATCTCAATACGCGTTTAAGTTAATTTAAACTGCAAATACTCGTGCAATCCCCGCACACTGTGATATAATATTATAATTGTGATTGAGTGCATTTAGAATTGTAGTTAGGTAAGTCTGATTTAAAAATAGGACGTATAAGCTACCGAATGGAACATTTTAAGTCTTTGTTATATTAGATTAGACCCTAGATAGAACGAACGTTTCACGATGCCCATGCGGCACGTCGCTCTTGCTAGATCCCGCGAGTTGAAGTAAAGGCTTCTAAATGGCGAATAATGTTAGTAAAGAATACATTTTCTCTAGGTTATGACTTACCATGGGAGGACAAAGATTGGAAGTACCCAAACAACTTTGCTAGTCCACTTCAAATAATAATAGATGCCAGTAATGGAGCTTCAGATTATGGAAACAAATTTGGAGAGCCTTTGATATCAGGTAATTATAGGAAATGTTTAAGTGTAATCGTATAAATAGTTGAGAAAAGCGAAATATGAAATATGTAGACAATAGAAATGCAACAAGTAGGTACTACATATGTATTTCGATGTTTTCAAATACATATATTTACTAAGCTGGAAAATGTTCCAGTTGAAATCGAAAAAGCACTGTTTTATAACACCTTTTGTGTGGATATTGAAGGAATGTCCAATTTTTAAGATATCGTACTCACTTTCCGATATTTAGTTACTTTTGTAAGTAGTGTTATTGGACACTTTCTTATGTTAAAAATCTTATTAGTAAATGAGGTTAGACTTAAATTACTTATTAATCTTAAATTAGGCTAGATCGTAATGTTCCATGATGTCTTAGTAAAGATACATGTATAAAAAAAACTTTTCGATATAATGCAAAAGTATTATTTAAAAAATAAATCAGTTGAGCTACAACCTCTTTAGGTCTGGGCCTCAGATATCCGAATCTATTTCACGATCATTTTTCAATCTAATAGGCAAGTTTTTTTAGGAGTTTTTGGGTCTAAAGCGGGCCATAGACGGATCGCATGTTGCGTCTACGGCCCGCTTAAGACATGTCCTCACCATGTTTTCCTTCATCGTTCGAGCGAATGTTCAATGCGCACATAGAAAGAAAGTCCATTGGTGCACATCCGGGGATCGAAGCAAAGCTTTCGACCACAGGGATGAGAGTCGCAAGCTGGCCAACACTGCTTGAATATTTTTATCGATAGACTATCCAAAAAAAAAACTAATCCAACAGGTGATAGAAAATATATATGATTTTATATCATATTATATAGGATTTCTAATGATACGACAAATGTCTGTTAAAGTGTTCGAGAGGTAGAAATAAAAGAATAGTGCTTGAACCCTAAAAATATATTCAAATAAATTCCGTCTAAGTCTATGCTTAAGCGCTAAGACGTCCGTACGTCAAAAACGCATTAGATTGACATGTGAGAGTCATGGTCCAAGTTTGAGTTAGTACTGACTACAAGACAGCCTGTGTAAAATATAGTTCGTTGTCTGTAAACACATGATACAGTAGCAGTATGCGGCTGTGAAGCGTGGTCTATTGAAGACACAAGAAGACTCCTCGAAGCTTTTGAGATGTGGTGTTACTGTCCCATACTTCGTATCAGCTGGATATAAAGAATGACGAATGAAAGAGTCTAACGAATCGGGACGACACGAAAGTATGTATACTAATACGGAAAGTCGCATATCTTGGACACATTTTGCGGCATCGTCCATACGATTTGTTGCTCATAATGATGTGCAAAATTCAAGGCAAGAGTCGGGCTGGTGAAGGAAGACGTGGAACGTACGGGATTGTACCGGCAGCACATCCGCCGAGAAAATTGACTAGCGCGAAATACTCTGCAATTGAAGTTGTTAACAGCCAACCTTTAGCAATAATGACTTTTAGCAATGAATGATTTAAAACAAAAATATTTGCGCCTAAGAACCGAACAAATAAGGCGATATGTTTAATATATATTATTCTAGGTTTCGTGCAATCGTACGGTTTGAAGAATGGAGACAACATCAGAGAGGAGTTCATCAAGCCAATAATGTTCAGCGGTGGTATTGGTTATATGCCACACCAGATGATTAAAAAGAACAAACCGGAAGAAGGTGAGACATTGTTTTTTTTATAAATGAACAGTTAATTGTTAAATTAATATGAGAATAATTCAAGGTTTTCAACACAGAAACCTTTTTGTTTGTTGGTTGTTTTGACTAGGTTTGTTCCCAAATATGGGTGAGGTTATAAATCGTAAGGTACAAGATGGCGCGCTTCGTTTGACTGTGATTGGTCAAGCGGTAGTTATGTAATATAGTAGTTAGTACATTATGTATTTATTTATTTACACTTCGTTGCATACAGAAATACAGTATAATTAAATAAATAGGAATGCAAACTGACGGCCTTATCGCTATCGAGCGATCTGTTCCAGTCAACACTATCGACGTATCATGTCGCGTGCCAACGCGTATTGAGTTAAAGATGCTGTTGGCTCATCACAATTGAACTTAGTGCGCAAACCTTTCGTTTGACTGTGATTGGTCAAATGGAACATAACGTGTCGCGTGTTTGTGATTGGACAAGAGTTATTGACAATCAAACGAAACGAGTTGTCCTTTGTTTCACAGCTAGCTAGCTTATGACATTCAAATCATTAGGAGTTTTTAATTAAAAATACATGAACCGGATATTAACATTTTTTAAAGTAATGTATATAAGTGTCGTATAAGTAGTAATATGTTGTATATATGTTATTTTTTTATGTAGATTAGGTCATCTTTTATCGTTTTCTCGGTTTTTTTTTAATTTTTGATCCTCTTCTTTATTTGTTTCTTGAACAATTTTCTAATAGGCTATATGATCAGCCTTCTGTGCCGTGCCACACACGCCGTCGATTTGATTAATACAAGCCGACTTTTTTGTAAGGCATTCCGGTTTCCTCACGATGTTTTCCTTCATCGTACGAGTGTTAAATGCACATCCATTCCATTGATGCAAAGACGGTTTTAGAACCTACGACCTCAGGGATGGGAGACGCTGAAGTCACTACTGCTCACTGTCACAGTCACTACGGCCAACACGGCTCCAATATTTTTTGTTGTTCATTGTCTGCGCTCTATGATACAATTTTATACTATATCTTTAAAACTAAACTCTCACGGTCTAAAAAAATTTTCTACTTAAACTGTTTTAATTTTATTTGTTTCATCACCGCGTAGACACAATATGACAAAAAGAGCTGAATGAACATAATATGACGAGATTTCGAAGTATGTACACAGAAACAAAAGATCGCCATCTTTTGTTTCTGCTACCTTATATTAGTTATAATAATTTTTTTCATATAACGAAATATTTTTATTATTAGTTTAATGATATTAATTACTAAAATTCTATGGTAAAAATAAGAAAAAAAAAATCCATATCGAAATGGCCGTGATTTTTTTTATTTCAATTAAAGCGCGTTCTGTGTATTAATAGAATCGTTGGTAAAAAAATAATTCAATGTTGATTTCTGAAATAATATTAATAAAAAAAAATGTCTCCTTTCTAAATCTCCTTATTCAGTTTTTTATTAATGTTATTTTTTAATGTAAGTAAATAACAATGATTTAGTTACGAACTCTTAATTTAATATATTTAATTAAATTTGTTATAGGGATGCTCTTGGTGAAAGTGGGTGGCCCCGTATACCGTATCGGGGTTGGTGGAGGAGCAGCTTCATCAGTTGCAGTCCAGGGAGGAGACTCTAGAGACCACGCCTTGGACTTCGGAGCTGTGCAAAGAGGTATATTTAGGGCCATTATTAAGTGCTTACAATTAATAATATTAATAAATACGGAATATAAAAAAATACCGAAATTTCTCTCGTATGTCAAACGAGAGAAATTCTAAGCGCTTGAAACGAACCGAATGGGAAAAGGGGTTTTTTTTGATATCTCTCACTATATATATATTTTTTTTTTTGATTCCTGTTATTTTGTGTGTAGTAATAAGTGTTATTTCTTTGTAAAAAATCACATTTGAACAAATGTCTTATGATAGAGTATGTGGAAGAAGAATCGTACTTCCTCTGACCTAAAGACCTAAAGGAACGGCACCGCTTTTCTAGGAAACCGTGGCTTAACTAGTCTTACTAATCCTGACTAGCCGGACCTAAGGCCCCAGTGGGTGGGTGGTGGTGGTGTCCGAGAAGTTGTATATATTCTTAGCGGTTGGAATATCGCAGCCGTACAATATAGGTGTCGCTACAAGTAGGTACAAAGTTATTAAACTGAACTTATATAAATCATTGTCCTCAGGTGACGCGGAGATGGGAAATCGTCTTAACCGAGTCGTTAGAGGTTGTCTTGAAGCCAAAATTAACCCAGTTGAATGTAAGTTATTTTTCTCTTAAAATATATTTAACATAGAAAATGTAATAATGCTATTGAAATTTTTCGTATCTTGGTACAACCATATATAAACCGTTAGTTTATACCGTACATATTGTACAAGGTTAATTAATGTACTGTTTTAGTATAAGTTACATGCGCTACCCCAGTTGTGTTACAATCATTTATATCCATTTACCGAATTTAATTAACTCTTTGAAGACATAGAAATTCGTCTTCTTTCAAGAAGATCCTTTTCTTAAAAGGCTGGCAACGAACTTGGGAGCATTCTGCCAATGTCCATGGGCGGTGGAATTAACATCAGATGAGCCTCCTGCCCGTTTGCCCCCTGATTCCTCTGTTTTATATATATTTAGCCCTATGTAAATTCTAAATTTTCAAAATCTAAATTTCACCAACATCATCTTGATGGTTGGAGGTCTTCCACAGTCCGTTTCACTAGGCATTTTCTTTTCCGAACTAGCGAACTGTGGAATCGGCTCCCGGTGGGGGTGTTCCCTCAGAGATACGACCTCCAAATGTTTAAAAATCGAGTGTACTCCTCCCTCAAAGGCCGGCAACGCACCCACAAAAAATGGGTGTCTATGGGCTGCGAAGACTGCCCTTTTTGGTCGTCCCGCAAGCTCGTTTGCCCCCCTATTATATAAAAAAAAATGTAATGTAGATTTGTATTTTTTTTAATATTATACATTTTATCACACATAAAAAATACAAACAATTACTTTAATCAAATCGTGGGTGCTCAATAGCCTTAAGTTGCTGTCACCAGCAACACTGATTTTCAGTGGTCAGCCTTATCTTTAGGGCCATAATTTTTAGGCAAATAATTGTATTATTAAATTACTTTCAGCGATTCACGACCAAGGCGCTGGTGGAAACGGAAACGTGTTAAAAGAGCTGGTGGAACCAGAGGGCGCTGTCGTCTTTACAAAAGAGTTCCAATTGGGTGACCCCACAATTACTACGTTGGAACTGTGGGGGGCTGAATACCAGGAAAATGATGCACTGCTTTGTTCAAAGGAGAATAGGAATGTTCTAGAAGGTATGCACTTTTATGAAGAAGGAAATATAGAAGATATCTCACGGATATATAAAAAGAAATACATATAATAATTACAGATGTTTCTTGGCAGAGGTGTGAATATTATCTTTTCCCGCGTTTTTTTTACTAAATTAAAAATTGTTCATTGGCTTACCGTAATTACAAAGAATTCTCGTAAATTACCTTAAAAATAATAATGCCGCCAAATGGTATACGTGTTCACATACAATTACGTACGTTCGTGGTTGCATTATTATCACTAATAATTTGTAATTTTCTTGCCAACTTGAAAAGGAGTGCAGATAAGGTAATTTATTGCATATATTAAGTATCGTTTAAGAGTTAGATAGAAGGCGAGTGTAAGAAAAAAGTAGTTCTAATATAAGTGCTGAACATGTGACTTTCATCCCTGAGATATGGTTTGAAGTTTGAACCCTGCACCTATGGACTTTCTATGTGCGCATTAACCACTCGGTGAAGGAAAATATTGTAAGGAAATTGGCATGCGATAAGTTGGTGTCAGGCACAGGAGACTGTTCACCTATTTGCCGAGAAACTGTGGAATTCATAGGTTTGGTTGTTCGTCTTTAAAATTGATTATTTAATTCCAATAGGCAATTTTCCTTTTTTGTCGTTCCAAAATTTGTTTCTTCATCATGCCTAGGACAAATATACGTTGAAGTAATGAAGGCAGGCAAAATACTGACAAAAAAATTAGATTACTAAAATTTTCAGACATATGCCGACGTGAAAGGTGTCCGGTATCGTTCGTTGGGGAAGTGACCGGTGATGGTTTCATGAGTTTAGTTGAAGATTCCTTCAAGGACTCGTATCTTAAGAGATCAGATCGACAGAAGCCGGATGTAGTGGAGAAGATGCCGTATGACTTGCATTTGGAGGCTGTGTTGGGTATGCTGAATTCAGTTGCTTTATTAGCTTAAAAAGTTTTATAATTGAAGGGTACAGGTAAAGAATAGTCAATACTTTTTCAAAACAGAGTTGACATTGCCATCTAGTAGTAAATTTAGAAAGCTATGGAATGGTGAAATTAAAAGAAAATTAAAAAAAAACACAGTCAACATGAAGCTCAAAAAGTTTACAATGAAAAAATATCATTGACTGTGGACACTGCTCTTTTTGGTTAGTTTGCGCGCTTAACTACTGAATTGATTTATGTATGTATAGAATCTTTTCGTAAACCATTACAAAAAAAAAAATGTTATACCTTTTGTCTCTGGTAAGTTCAAAAATCATTAATTGAGCTTATGACGTAACCATAAGTAAATCTTGACTTGGCATTTTCTATAGTAAATTAAAATGGCAACTGAGATACGCAATAACTGTCTCTCTGAAACCTAGGAACTCAGCCATCATCATTATCAGAAGTAAACTTTAGAATGTTCCAGAATGTAATAGAACTTTTTAAATGCAGGTAACATGCCGAGGAAGACGTTTGACCTTCAAACTGAAAAGCGAACTAAAGTCCCACTTGCGCTGCCCCAAGATGTAACAGTCGAGAAGGCTCTTAACAGAGTTTTAAGGCTGGTGAACGTGGCAAGCAAGAGATATCTGACTAATAAGGTATTTTAATTATTTTATCAATGTCATTAGGTAAGGTTTGTAGGAACCAGTGGAGCTACAACCTTTTAGGTCTGGATTTCTGCACCTGTTTTGTGGTGTTTTGTTTTTTTCTAATAGGTGTTCTGTGCCTGACACAAGCCGACTTTTTGCAAGGCATGTCGGTTGTGATGTTTTCCTTCACCGGACGAGTGAGTGTTAAATGCGCACATAGACAGAAAGTCTATTGGTGAACAGCCGCAGTCAACATTCAAACAACAGTCAAATGCACAGCAAAACCACCATTGTTAATTATAGTAAACGCATGAAAAAACTTACCAATCAAAGAAATTTTGTGACGGAAAAATTTTGACTAAAAGAGAGAATTTTAAATGACGCCGGAAAAGAAATCTATGTACAACATATAAAAGTATTAAAATAACAAAAGTTCAATTTCCCATTCTATTCAATTGGCTTTTTTTATTCAGCCTACTAGCTATCTTCAATAAACGCGACAAAACATTTTATTAAAAAAATACTTTGATTAATACTATATTTAGACATAGGCATAACATTTTTTACTAACAAAACACACAAAATAATATTAAAAAAGGGTGCGTGTACTTATGTACGCGCGTAAGAAGTTATACTTCTTTGGCATTATTAAAAATAGTTTTTGATTGCATGCAAATAATTAATTACAATTAAATAATCAAAGACTGGAAAAGGAGTCATTAAAGTCAATAAAGTTCAGTTTACATTTGAAAAATTAATTAAATAAATATTTATTATTATTCTCTTACATTAAACAAATAAAACACTATTTATCTTTAAAACATTTCTATTTCATTATACTATTTATTTTTAAGTGACTCTAATGTCTTCATCAGAATTTCGGTTTGTAATTTTAAATTAATCATTACTTGGTTGTGCATCTACGAGGCTTCTCCAAAACTACTTGCTTTCTGCAACAAATAAGAGAATATTAATTTAAGCTCTGTCCATGCAAAACTTAAAATTTTTTATAATTCATATTATAAATTTTTAACACATTTATATTAATATAATTATATAAATGTGTTAATAATATAATTTGTAGCACATGCTACAGACCTGGATAGCAACTTTCTTTTATTCTATTTAGAGATAGAGATAATTTAAATATAATACCGGTGTCTTCCTTGTAGGTTTCCTTGGAGTTGTTTGGGGATTCTTGTTGTTCAGTTCGACATGATTTTCTTTAACCTTTCTTTAATCCTACAAAATAATGAAATTGTTAAGTTATGTTGTCACTGTTGTGCACACCTTTGTTTGGCTTTTTTAGTATTCAAGTTATGTCAAAACTGATTTATTACCTTGTCATTGTTGGCTTTATTTGCTTTTGGGATATCAATTGTTTCCAAAATGATTTTATTTGTAATAACCTGAAATATATAAATAACATCTATTAATTTAAGTATCATGGTGAGTGGTTCGCACTCAGGTATTAAGGTGTATTATACCCACTGTCCATTATAAGTGGGAATGGGCTCACTTCTGGCAGGACAGAGTTTCGGTACTACAAGTGCAACATGGATGTTTTGAGGTATTACAATATCTCTAACTACCCTGTAGGGGAATAAAGTAATGTTGTAAGCATATGCCTATGCTTGAAAGGTTGAACCTTGAACATCACCATACATCATATTTATAATTAACATTCCTACCTCGACACCATCACAATCAAATTCATTGAAATCTACTTCAAACCATTGTGTCTCGAGAAGGTGATGGTGGCTTTGTTCCACCTCCAGTTTTTGATGTTTCACGGCGATAAGATGACAACTCTTTTTTTTGTATTCAATTTAGTGCACTTCCACTGATTCATCAATTGTTTTTTGTCTCTTGTCCTTATATTTGCTAGATTAAATCTGATGTTTTGATTAAATAATGTGGTCATTTTTTTGAGATGCAGGTACTTATTAAAATGTTTACTTCTCTGTTATATCGCTCCAAGCCTTCATTTTCTCCTTATTAGTATTCGTGCTTAAATCTTTGTTCTCAATTATTGATATATAGGGTCGTAGAATATTTCTAAAAAGTTGCTGTAACAAACGCAATAAACAAAAGCAATGAATAATGGTTCATGTTTCAGTTTTAATCAACAATAATACTCGATAATACATACGTATAGTTAACCTCAATTGTATTGAAGCACTCAGGAAGGTTAGCACAGTTTTTTCACAAATATTTTATATTATTTCACAAATATTTTGTATAATGAAAATAACTAGGTATATAATTATTAATTTTAAACAATAATTAAAACTCCTATATTTGTTTAAAAGGTAAATGTCATTGTCAGATGTCAATTGTCATGGTCATTCAAAATTCTTGTTAAGCTGCTAAGCTAGAATATGCGTGAAGTTAGCTTCACGCATATTCTATTTCTTTACTTGTAGTTTGTCTTATTCCCATCTCGCTCGCGCACGCTTATCACACTGCCAATTTTGTGTCATAGGTGCGCGCGAAATCGTAAAATTTCACTCTCATCAATTTTTCATAACGCGCCTAAAGAAGTACAACTTAAAAAAAAACAAAATTTTTTTTTGAAAAACAAAGGAATAAGGTCATTTTAATTGTGTAATGTGTGTATTGTAGTTGTAACTAGCCCTGGCTCACCATTGATTTGATTGATTTATGCTGTGCAAACGTGTTTCACAGCGCTGGTCATTCCGACTCAGACGCAAAAAAACAAAATGGCAACTCAATTGAATAATTGTTATTCAGAATTAATATTTATATTTAATTATTAAACAGGTGGATCGTTGCGTAACTGGTTTAGTTGCGCAACAACAATGCGTGGGTCCCCTCCACACACCACTTGCAGACTGCGCGATTATTTCCCTCACTTACCACGAGAAGGTGGGATCGGCGACATCTATTGGCACTCAGAATATCAAAGGCCTTCTGGACCCGGCTGCTGGAGCTAGGCTGTCATTGGGAGAAGCGCTTACTAACTTGGTAAGTTTAAAAAAAACTATTTAACCGGATTAAAGTTATGTATTATTATAAATAAGATATATTAATAATAAGATATTAAAATCTCAAGAAAAACAATCCGCGAAATTAGAGGACACCGTGAGCCATTTTTGCCAAAACCCTCCATCTTTTAGTCGATACCAACTCCGGGGAAATAAATACAGATAATGCAACTTTCTCTACAGCTGTGATACTTTTTGACATCCAACACCTTTTGTCTTCAGTCAACTTGACCACGCACGCTGTAAAGCACGCGAAACGTCGGTTAAATTTAAAATTATGTTAAATAATTGTAAATTTATAATAATACATAACTTTAATCCGGTAAAAAAGTTTTTTCTTTAAATGTGAAAAGGTTATGTCAATAAAAGACAATACTATAACTTGGTAAGTTGTAAAAAATTATGTTACAATTATTTGTATAGGATTTTGTGCGGGTTAAAATTAAAACATTTATTAATGTATAAACTAAAAAATATATATTTCTTTAATCAAGGGTACAAGTACAAGGTACTGATGAGAAGAATTGGCACTAAATTTATAAATCGTACAATAAAATGTTTGTTTGCTAAATACATCCTCAATCTTAGAGATAAGTAGGCAAGAGTGCCGCTCAGGCGTCAGGGAGCAGCAAAATCGAATAACATTTTATTAATTTATTTGTAAAAAAAAAAATATTTTTATCTTATTAGTATTATCAAGACCACGATGAAGTTTTCAATTCAATTCAAACAAATAAAAGCGAGATGCCTTCATAATGTGAGAGAGTATTTAGACCTTAAGTTTTGACAACAATTATGAATATCTTAACTGTTTTTATTATTATGACATGATAAATAATATAACATTTGCATGCGTATTTTTATATGGGTGATTGCGCGAGTTTTTATAATTTATCATCTGAATGTCCCACTTGCAAATCCGATATTATTTATTAATTATACAATTCATACTTTTCCCCATCTTTACCTGTTACTCTTCTTGTATTCTCTCCATGCTTGACTTTCTGCTGTCGCAGTCTTCTGTCCATGCTTGACTTTCTGCTGTCGAGGCCCTTGTTAGTAGGTACAATAGGGTTTAGCTTCTAGATAGTAAAAAAGTTACCTATATTTATATTTCGTTTTTTATTGTATTTTTTTCCTACAATAAGTTCACAAAAGAGAGTGCGACTTTACATGTCAAGTCAAAGATTCTAGATCCTAGTTGCCAAAAGGTAGTTTCGTGTGGAGAAGAATGGGCAAGAAACTCCACACTTACTCTTTTAAAATAGGTTTACAATATTTAGTTACATTTGTTAAATAATTATATGTGAAGACAATGTACTCTTAGAATAAACTACTATACTAAAAAAGTTAGTATACATGTTCCTCACATACTTACAAATATCGAAACCGTAGAATATTATACATTAAAGAGTAATTAAAATAAAACAAAAACACAATAAAACAGTGTGTGAGATAAAAATAAAATAATTACATTTTGTAGTATTAATGAATGAATGAACATAAATTACAATCTAGCCTATACAATAATTATGGCTTATAAGTAATGTTATGTTGAATTAATTTTCTTATTCTAGTCTAGTGTATTGATTTATACCGTTCATACGAAATCATTAGCATATTTATGTCGACTGCGCAGAATCAATGAATCGGACGCAGATTGAACTGCGGATGTTACGGGATTACAACAATTGAACTCGAATTTTCATCTAGGTGTTTGCCGGCATAAGTGAATTAGAAGACGTAAAATGTTCCGGCAACTGGATGTGGCCAGGAAAGACAGGCACTCAAGGGGGTTCACTAGTTGTGGCCTGCAAAGCACTCACTAAGGCCATGGGAGAACTGGGCGTGGCCATTGATGGTGGGAAGGATTCATTGTCCATGTGCGCGAATGTCGGTGGACAGAACGGTAAGAAAAATGTTATATACACATAATTCTTTTAATTTATTCATAGGTACATTTTTAAATTTGTGTAAATTCCAGAGATAATTATATAATAGCTTTTTGGAGTTTTATCTATATTATGTAATCGCATATAAATAGGTATTGTTTCACCATACATAATTGCTTAATGATATCTATATATACATTACTATTAATTAATAAAAATAAAGCCTTTTTTATTTCCATTTCAAATATTGTGAGTAGTGTTGTTAGTACTTATAGCTTAGAAGTATTATATGTTAGTCGCCTGTGGATATGGACCCCTCTTGGCTAAAGGCCCCCTCCGACCCTTTCCAGATGTGATGTCTGCCAGTCTTTTCCTGCTATTTCTATCTAGTCATTGCTTTTAATTATATGAATTTTAATAGTTAGAAGAAATATTAGGATTTAATTATTAGTTATACAAGGCAACTGTGAATGGTAAAATCGGGTTGGGTATTCCTTGTCGTACATACCTGGACCAAATCCAGAATGTACTAGAGAAGGGACAAGTTAAAAATACCCATAACCGGCGAACATGCAAGGTGTATGTCATGAAGGTGGATGATAGAGGTATGGCGGACCTAACAAGTGGAGATCCGTGATCTCTGCATACCCCTTCGGGAGAAGGGCGTGATGATATAAAGAAATATTTAAATTAATCCTGACGACTTTTACGACTTGCAATAGTCACTACATTCAATTCAATTCAAAATCATTTATTAATATTATAAGGTCAAAATACAAATGAAATGCTCTAAATTTACATTTACTGCCAGTTCTCAAATCAAGGGCGTAGAACGGAAGAGAAGAACTGGCAATAAACTCTCCGCCACTCATTTTGTGGTCAAATTTGTCAAAATTTACATGCGTGACTGCCTCCTATAATTATTTTAATAATTTATATTTCTTTTAAATTTATGTATTAAATAATTTTCAGTCCAATCTCCGGGTACACTAGTAGTCTCTACGTATGCCCCATGCCCCGATATTACTGTGAAAGTGGAACCTGCTCTGGTCAAGGAAGGGTCCGCATTGATCCATATAGCAGTGACTCCAGGACAATATAGGTAATTAATAAAGATTTATTAAAAGATAAATGTTAATGTGTGCTTCATCTATCGTTTAGGTCGTACGGGACCTTGCAATAAGTGCAAGTTCTCAAATATTTGGTGGGCTTAAACTAATCAAAGAAAAAACCTAGATATATATTAGGTCCTTACATATGAAATTGGCGTTTTTCGTACTGGCCACTTTAATCACGATGTTCTCCTCTTTGGTAAGGAATTTCAAATTCAAATTTGTACAGCTATTTACTCATGTATTTGTGCTTCGATGACTGTCATTCATTTGTTTTTTTCTTCTGTTTTTTTCTGTTCGCGTCACTCATTTTACAAAATGGAAAACTTAAAGTATCGCATTATTTACGAGTACGAGTTCCGCCGTGGCACTAGTGCTGCGGAAACGACTCGAAGGGTGAATGATGTGTATGGCGGTCATGTTGCAAAAGAAGACACAGTTCGTTTTTGGTTCCAACGTTTTCGTTCTGGAAATTTCGACCTGCAAAACAAGCCCCGTGGACGGCCTGAGACCCAAGTTGATAATGAAGTATTGAAGGCTATTATGGAAGCGGATCCATCGCAAACCACGTCCGAGTTAGCTGCAGGCTGCGGTGTTAGTGATAAAACTGTTTCAATTCACTTGAAGCAAATTGGGAAGATTAAAAAGCTTGAAAGATGGGTACCTCACGAATTGACTGAAGCAAACCGGCAAACGCGCGTCGACTGCTGCGTTACATTACTGAACCGGCACAATAATGAAGGTATTTTAAACCGAATCATTACCTGTGATGAAAAATGGATTCTTTACGATAATCGGAAGCGCTTCAGCGCAATGGTTGGACCCTGGCCAGCCAGCCAAATCCTGCCCCAAGCGAAAATTAACCCCAAAAAAGTTACTTGTAAGCGTTTGGTGGACTAGTGCCGGTATTTTTCATTGCAGTTTTCTCAAATCTGGCCAGACTATTACGACTGATGTATATTGTCAGCAATTGCAAACCATGATGGAAAAGCTAGCGGCTAAACAACCTAGGCTGGTCAATCGCTCCACGCCACTGCTACTTCACGACAACGCTAGACCACACACTGCACAACAGACGGCTACCAAATTAGAAGAGCTTCAATTGGAATGTCTAAGACATCCTCCGTACTCCCCGGACTTTGCTCCAACAGATTACCATTTTTTTCGAAATTTAGACAACTTCTTGCAAGGGAAAAATTTAACTCTGATGGGGCAGTCCAAATCGCCTTCACAGATTTTATTGATTCCCGTCCGACTGGTTATTTTAGTAAAGGGATCAATGAACTACCTATAAGATGGCAAAAGTGCATAGAAAACAATGGTTCATACTTTGATTAATTAAATATATTATATTTAAAAATATTCGACTTTTTGTTCCTCCCATACAAAACGCCAATTTCATATGTAAGGACCTAATATTATAAATATATTGTATGTTCAGTAAATTGGATGTTTGGCGTATCATTACGAATTATTGTATTCACCATACATGTAGATTGTCTTTTGTTTCGGTTTTTTTAAAGGTGGCCTAATAACGAGACCGTTTCGCCAAATTTAGCTTAATGTGAACCGAAAGATGTTTACCGTACTTTTAATGTTTTTAATATTTTTTTTTCTCATGTAAGTGACATGAATGTTTTTTTAATGCGAATAAACTTTAAATCGAAGCGATGTATAGAAGCCCAGTTCTGATAAAAAACTTTGCCAGTGTAACACACCAAACTCTATACAAAAAAACATTATTTATTTGATTATTTTATAAGATGTATCAACTTCAATATATATAGAAGGAAATTCACGATAGTCAAAGTTTTGTTAATTTGCTAGGTTTTAATACATTTTTCTAGGATCGGAGGTTCAGCATTAGCTCAATGCTACAAGCAATTAGGCGACAACCCACCAGATTTGGATGATCCACGTGTATTGAAATCGTTGTTCAAAGTTACACAAAAATTACTCAAAGGTACTGTTTCATATTGTTTCACGCACCGTGTATATGGTTGGTTTCGGCCCCTAAAATGATTTAAATTTACAGTTTTTCTTTCAAATGTGATTTAATTTGTGTATTTTTTTATATGTAATGTTTTAAACATGATAAATAAACTAAAAGTACAGAAAACATAAAATACCTACTGAGAGGTTTCACCTTGATGTCTTAAGGGCTATACCACAGTTCATTCCTTATAAGTGTTAAAAATATATAACCAATACAAAAAAATGAATTTTTTTTTTCTGTATGTGTCTTGTGTGTGTGTCTCGTGATAGGAGGCGCTTTAATCGTATTTTGTATGAACTTGCGTGTCTGCTGCTTTGGTTCCAATATTTAACGTCCCGTATTCAAATTCGTATCTTCGTCACAATCACGACTTAAACCTCGTACTTCTCGAATAGTAAAATAACTGTAGTAAAAACATTGGTGAATTGACGAAAAAAAATTAAATGCAAAATGTTCATGGGTTTCGTGACTGTCAAACGTTTAATGTTCAATACAGTTAACTCTTGCCTAAAATTAAATAAAGGTTTCTAATCGACAAGATCCACAATATTCGGATAAAGGCGTATTTTAGTTAAAGATGAAAGGGCGTCGGAAGGAACAAAAAGTTGATTTTTTGAAATATTTAATTAATCAATGTATGTACCATTTGCTATCTATGCACTTTTGCCATCTTATAAGTAGTTCATTGATCCCTTTACTATAAAAACATTGGGACGGGAATCAATAAAATCTTTGAAGGCGGTTTCGACTGCGAGAGTTAAGTTTTTTACCTTGCAAGAAGTTATACAAATTTCGGATATATTGGTTGTCAATTTATGCGTGCGTTCAGAAACTTTGTGTAAACTAAAGAACCTATTACAAGCTTCTATAATATACAACAAATCAAGGCACATTGAACCGTGGACTATTGCAATTTGGTGATAATAGTAAACTTAATATTTGTTTGTATTCATTGTATTATTTTCATAAAATCAAAAATTATATATTTAATATATTATTATATATATTGTAACACGACATTCATTGCTGTAAGACGGTACGAAGTCAAAGTCAAAAATCATTTATTCATGTAGGTAACAAAATGTACACTTATGAACGTCAAAAAAGAAATATACATTAAATGCTTCTAATTTTACATTTACTGCCTAAAACTTGCTCAATAGAAGCAGGTTGTCTAGCCAAATTCTTGGCTGTTATTAACAATGAATATGATAGCGAATTATCTATCTGTCTATAAAATATGTCGGTAGATTATATCTATCCTTTGTCAAAAAGTAATTATTACAACTAATGTACCTATTGGTATCAATAAGCGTAAAGTTTTTAGTTCGCCGGATAGTTAATAATTTTTACTTTTCAGAAAAGAAACTTCTCTCCGGACATGATATAAGCGAAGGAGGTTTTATTACAACCGTCTTAGAAATGGGCATTGGCGGTATTCGTGGGCTAGAACTGAATATACAGAAATCTCAAGTGTCACCTATAAATATCCTGTTTAATGAAGAGCTGGGTATTGTTCTGGAAGTGGAACAGAGTGACGTGCAATATGTATTGAAGGAATATGAGAAGAGTGGTGTTACAGCTAGTGTTATTGGTGTCGCGGGCAAATATGGAATGCAGTCTAATGTAAGTTTTTTTAAATTCTTTTTGATGTGGTTCTTAATTCAAATTTTAAGAGTTAACGTGAATTTTTTTTTAAATACAGTTGCTTAAAAAGTTGCGTTACCTTTACCGAACTTGTGCGTTCTCTTTCCCAACTGTCAAAATAATCTCTATTAAATAGAAAAAAACAACCACGAAATTATGACTAAAAAAAATTGATTTAATGATTTGATTCAATGAGTTAGGTTAGGTTTCATTTCATCTGATTAAATTTCATTTTCATTTCATACAATAAAAAAAATCTTCTTCGCTGTATGCGCGTAGTTCCTTTTGCCTACCCAGAATGGGTGAAGAAAAAAAAAATCTCTGCTTATATTATTTTACGGTTGGCGTCATTTTCCAAAAACGTTCTTTATTAAATTGCTTAATTTTTTCGCAACTGTATTAAAAATAGTTGTTCAGTACACGTGCGGAACCGTCATTGTAACTTGTTCCGACTGTCAACCCTCACCTTTGGCTGCGCCTCGGCTCAGGTAGACATTTGTCGGGACTCTTTGCACTGACAGGCTTTCCGCACTCGTAATGAAATATACTATAAGACACGTGTTTCATTGTAATAGATACTACAATTCTATGTCTAATAACGTAACAAGTTCAGCACATAGTAACGAGTTTTAATTATTTTTTTTGGATGTAATTAATAAATGTAGAGCATTGTATAGACGTATGATATCGACCGACGTTTTCTGCGATGGCCCTGAAATGCGCTAACAGTTATTCCAACCTTTATAAAGAGGAGTAGCATATTCCTTCCTCCACAATTGTTTTGTGACCAGCCGTGCGATTCTGTTAATCCGTGAGTTCACCTCGCACTAACAAGGCTCCCTTCGTCACTCACGTCATTTTTGGAATCTCATGGTATTCTGTTAAGCAATTTCACATTACGTCTTGACAAGCGGAGGGAGCTTGCAGTTTATTGTTTATCAGGATGCCAAATCCTTAAATGACTGCTTCACGACTGATTTGAGCGGCGACCGCCGCTGGTAAACCGCTGTGAGAGTTCGAAAAGTGAGTTACAGAATCGCAAGGCAGGATTAGAAAATTAGGAAACGCAATTTCTTAAACATCTTGCATTTAATTTTATACATATCTCTTCTTCGGTCTTGGCCTCAGATGATCAGCCTTCTGTGCCTGACACAACTTAAAGTCGAAGGGATGCCGGTTTCTTCACTATGCTTTTCTTTACCGTACGAGCGGAGTGGTTGCTATTTTTTTTTTGCGCACATAGACCGAAAGCCTTGCTGTACAGCAGGGCTTGGGACCTCAAGCTAAAGCCAATACTGCTTTATTTCTTTTAAACTGTAATTAAATGTTTCTTGCCTCAGGTAACGGTGAAAGTAAATGGTGAAGCAGTACTTGATATGAAGCTGATAGATGTTTTCCGGATGTGGGAGGAGACCAGCTACCAATTGGAGCGTCTGCAGACCAACTCTGACTGCATTAAACAGGAATGGGAAGGTACGTGGTAACGTTTAGTAGTATCTACTTGCTCGGAAATTACGTCATAGATTGTTGAGGTAGAAAATTCGTCGTCCCCGTCGATATTCCAAATTTAAAAAATATTTTTTTCTTTTAATTTTTGGTGCATAACAGAAAGTTTTTATTTATAAGTGCTTGATAGTGGCCACCTCACTTTAACTTAATATTAACGTAAAAAAACGTGGCATTTCTTTTATTTAGGCTCATGACAAAAAAGTTTTTATGTCTTAGTGCACTATGTACGTACTGGTTAACTTTAATTTAAAATAAAGTAATGGGAACATTAACTTTTTAAGTATCGCCGATTTCACTCCTATTTAATTTCACGCAATTCTTATGAAAGATAATTTAGCCAAACTCGCACTTTTTATGTTTTATTTCACTGCACTTAGTACTGGTCTATTTATCACAACCAGAACATAATTTGTTAGAAAGAGCCGATTTTTTTTAGGTTTGGAGAAACGCAAAGGCGCAACATACAGTGTATGTTTCGACCCATCAGCTGCTGTGGTTCCAACTAAGGCAGTGAGAGTGGCTGTTTTAAGAGAGGAAGGTAAAATAGTAAATTTATATTATTACTTATAAACACTATTTTACTAGTTCTTATATCAGATCTGAATACAGTACACGATTGTAAAATATCCCCTAAATTTGTATTATTTATTTATTTACACTTCGTTACATTTATAGAAAAACAAATAACATAACACATAAAAATAAAAATAAGGTATGCAACGGGCGGCCTTATCGCTAACAAGCGATTTCTTCCAGGCAACCCTAATAAGGAAAAAACAAAAAAAGAAATATTATAAAAAAATATATAGAATCACCAACCTTAATCTAAACTAATACAAAAAAATAAATTGTGCGTGTACTAGGTTTACACACGTAAGAAGTGAAACTTCTTTATGATCTTATTTTTCGAAAAATGATCTACTATATGCAACTTTACAGAAATTCGTTAAATTAGATAAAGTTTAACAAAAGGCTTTTATTATCATAGACATGAATTCAAATATTTCATTTTACCTTATTACTACGAAGATTATTATAGAATTTCATTAATTGTAATAGAATTATTACTATTGTATATTATCATTGACAAACGTGACGATTTGCTACAAAATTTCTCCCATACGTCGATAAAGAAGTTTCATTCCAACGCCGATAAAGAAGTTTGACTTCAAAAAGCAACATGGCGCGTAACCGAAAAATGTGACGCGTAACGAAAAAAAGTTACACTAAATTTTTTCCAACCTCGATAAAGAAGTTTCACTTCAAAAATATTAATAAAATAAACTAAAAAGCTAATCACTTATCCATGAATTGCGATGCAATACAAAAGAATAAGATATATAAATTGTACTAACTAGTAATTGCTGCCAAATACTCATGCTATGCAAACGTATTCGCTAGACATAGGGAGGATATTTAATTTCCGCCAGTTAAATTTCACAAAAACCTAGTTTGACATAGCGTTAAGTTTTAGTATTTATTTTTATAGGTACAAATGGTGATCGAGAGATGATTGCGTCACTAATGATGGCGAACTTCGACGTTTTTGACGTCACCATGAGCGATTTGCACTCGAAGAAAATTACCCTTGACGCCTTCCAAGGACTGGTCTTCCCTGGAGGCTTCAGTTATGCTGGTAATTTCTAAAATCGTTTTCTGTCTCAAGCGTTTAATACTCGCTTTTAGTTCAATCAGAAATTTGGTTCGTAAAACCTGTTTATTTACATAATATTGGCTTACTATTCGGTAGTTATAACTCAAACTCGAACTAACATTATTAATTCGTTTACCTAAAGTGAAGGAATCTGTCAAAAGAAGACATATAACCCGTTTTTTTTTTCATTGATCTCCTCTCCATGTATATCCATGATATCTATGATACTCATTGAAATCCTATTTTTTTTAAATTTTAAAATATAATAAAATAAAAATGTCTTTATTCATTTTAAGTAGATCTGCATTACAATGTGTAAGATTTGGGAACCCTTTTAAGTAAAAAAATACCTGTATCAGGGTTCCCAGCTCTTCCATAACAAACTTAACTATAATTCCTTAAGATATATTTATATATAATCTAATTACATCTTTTATTTAATTTACTTTTCAACTATTATCAACACGCCTGAGTGCATGAGTGAGTGTGTGGGTGCAAATGTGTAAGTGAGTGAATGAAAAAGGGGTGTAACTACATACTAGGTCTCAAAAGCATCTCTAACACTGCGCAAGGTATGCTCAGAAGCCAGTCCTTTAGTCGTATATTTACATTGTAGACGGTGAGCGGGTAGATGTTAAGCAGCCTATTTAACTTATTATATATAAAGTCTGCTTGGATATTGCGTCTGGCGAAGTCAGTCCTTACGGTCTGACCTCGAACGTAAATTAATAAACGGAAATGTTTATCCATTACAAACGAAAAATCTAATCTTTTTTGAGTAGACTTCTGAATTTTCACGATGTATTTGGGTGTATTTTGATGAATTTATTTGTTTCCAGACACCCTAGGTTCCGCCAAGGGATGGGCAGCCGGTATCCTATACTCTGAAGCGATCTACGACCAATTCTCCCGTTTCAGAAATAGAAAAGACACCTTCTCACTCGGTGTCTGCAATGGATGCCAATTGATGGCTCTCCTTGGATGGGTTGATCCTGATCAAAGGACCACATCGGTTCGCAAGACCCAGATATTCCTGGACCATAATCAATCAGAACGGTATGGTATAACATTTAAAACCAAACTTTCACTTTACAACGCGCTTTGCGAGTCAGTCATCAATTACGGTCTAAGGAGCTACGGTAGAACTTATCCAACGTATCTCAACCGAATATATAACCTCCAAATGCGAATCCTCAAACACGTGGTCTCGAGAAATGTGCTGGACTCATATAAAAATGAAGAAAGAGGGGTTTTCAAACACTGCAAAATACTGCCCATAACAGAAAAAGTAAATAAATGTCTTCTAGTCGAGCACTTTTTTCAAGATGACATAAAAAAACGAGTGGAGCATGACTTACAGACCCGAGCGGTAACGCAAGTTCGGCTCTGTACATCGAGAGCACACAACGTATACGGCGAGAGAACGTTGAAGTATTTGCTACCGCGGCTAATAAATGGTCTACCCAATCACATTGATATGTGATTCAATATTTATTTATTTATTCCATATCATTATTCTATCATTACAGTAATTACTAATTCGATAGAACGACACAACATTTATACCCACACCAATTAACCTAGATAAAAAACATTAAAAAAAAAAATATATTTATATACCTACATCTTATAACTAATAATATAGTTAATAATATATAATATAGTTATAAATATATAATAATATGCGTTAGGCAATCTAAACGCCAACCAACATAAGCAGTAAATTAAAAAACTACTTTAATATGCATTTGTCGCGCTCCTAAACAAGACTGCTATGGTTACATTAATACAAACCACAGCGGTTTCCTAATGTAACATATTGTGATTGTATTATATTATTTTGTAAAATAAAGAAATTAATATATATATATATATATATATATATATATATTTGTCTTGTGTTTTTAATTTCTTTGTAAAATGTGTAAAAATATATGCAATCATGCACTGTTCCGCCCAACTTGCTTTGAAATTTTGTTATGCTTTATTATCAGATTCGAATGTCGTTGGAGTGCCATAAAAATAAACGAAAATGCCAATCAAGATGTTTGGTTCCGTGGCATGGAGGGAAGTGTTTTGGGGGTTTGGGTAGCGCATGGTGAGGGTAGGTTCGCCTACTCCCAACCCTCGATTAGAGACCAATTGCAGAGCAATGGACAGATTGCTATGCAATATGTGGATGATGATGGAGTACCCACCGAAGTGTATCCTATGAATCCTAATGGAAGCCCAGGTTAGTATGTTATTAACACATTAAAATACTAACAGAATATATTGCATAAGTAACACATTTTTGTAAATTATACTTCTTCGCGATTTCAACAAATTGAACACAGCGTATCTAGAGCTGGATATATTCGGTAGTGGGCTGATCGGTTTTAGAGAAAGCATTGTGGGGTGCCTTTCTAGAACCTAATTTCGCTGTTTTTCTGATGATTTTTCATTTTTTTCTGCACATAGTTGTTGAAAATTTTATTTTATTTTATGTTTATGTTAAAAATTGATTTTATTTTAATGTGTGCTTGCATTGTCGTGTGTGTTTTAGTTGTATTTTTTTTTTAATTTCTATTTGATTTTTTTACTGAGAAACTTATGCTTGCATTAACTGTCACACATTTTAGATGTGGGATTTTGTGAAATAGTTGGTGGACTTATGACTGTGTGTGATGTTGTGGGCTTGATAACTAAATAAATAAATAAATAAATAAATATACTACATAAAAGTCAATCGTAAATTATTAATGAATTTTCTATGACTAGCACCTTTGAGTATGTTTCATTTACCATATGACATAACAACCTACTACCCCGAAAAAATTTTTCGCCAAGAATCGAACCCATGTTGTCTGGGCTATACGCAGTATGCTTACACCACCTAGCTGTGTAGTCAGTTGGATTATAAACATTTCTTATTTGTATAGATGGACTAGCAGGAGTAAGATCCCCAGATGGTCGCCATGTAGCTATGATGCCCCACCCTGAACGTTGTGTCCTCCGTTGGCAATGTGCAACTCAACCTGCTACTGTATCTAACCCAGCACGACCTGACAGTGATGCTTCACCTTGGCTCCGTCTATTCCAAAACGCTTATATTTGGGCATCGCAACAAAATTAATATTGGTTAAAGAAAACTTGTGAATATCATATAACCACAAATACACATAACACAATGGTCTATCATAATCGGATCATTTAAGTAATCGTTTTAAAATAATCCTCATTATGAACTGAAGTCTGTGCAATAATTCAATTGTTTGTTACATTCTAAACTCTTAAGATTATTATAGAACCTTTTTATGTTCTAGTAAAATTTTCATAAGTGTTATTACTAAAAATAATTAAAGAAAAACCGAATGAATTTAAGATTCATGGAACTATATTTTATAATTCTAATATCATGCACATTCCGATATACCTATTATACTCACTTTTATATTTGATAAGATAAGATGTTCAAGTAGTTATGGTAAAACCAGTGTCATTTTTGTGATGCAACCTGTAGGTAATTAGGTCCTAGAAATATTACTTATAGCAAATGTTACTTTAAGAACACTTTTGTTTTTAAATGAAATCTGTATAAACCTGTATGATGTCATAAAAGTACAGGTTGTTTTTTCCGACTTCAAATGGACTTGAATACAGGTTTGTTTCATAATAAAACAATTTTTTACCGGATTGAAGTTATGTATTTACAATTATTTTTCATTTTAAATTTAACCGACGTTTCGCGTGCTTTACAGCGTGCGTGGTCACGGTGACTTTAAAATAATGAAAAATAATTGTAAATACATAACTTCAATCCGGTAAAAATTGTTTTATTATGAAATGTGTGAAAGTTATGTCAATAAAAGACAATACAGGTTTGTTTATTTATTAAACAAATGAAATTGTGTGTTTCAATATGAATTGTTATCTACTAATGTACTATGAATTAGATTGTATCTTCCATATTTTGTGTAGCTAATTAAATAAATAAAACACTCTTATTTTACAAAATATTTTTCTTTGTTGGTTATTCTCTATTTGAAATATACAGTGTTGAGAATTATCATAATATTTTCTTGTTAAATTGTTAATTAGATATGTTTAGAGTTATAAAATGATTTTAATTATGTAAATGGGCACAAGGAGTTAAGCATAAATAATTTTAAGCAATATGATTAAATTAAATATATTATTAAATTCTATATACATATACTTTTGATAAAAATATTTTTAAGTATAATTACCCTTAACATAAAATGTTATTATATTTTATATTAAACTTTTACTTAATCTAAACGAGTATGTTATTAGTAATCTTCATATGTTCATAACCATTATTTCTTGAAGTTTTCTACACAAATCTTTTCGTCTAGATTTCTCCAAAGCGTGGCATAAAACAAGAAAACCTCTCTGTGGATCAGCTCGGTCTTCATATACATGCAATATCTCATAAGCTTTATCTTTTAAAGAATTTTGTTGTTTGTCAATTTCATCTATTCGGTGTTCTTGCAATTTCAGATTTCTACCAAGATCTCTCCAGGATGTGCCAATTTGTTCTACTATAGTTTCATTAATACGGTTCTTTTTTCTTAGAGTGATGTTTCCATATGGATGCCCAGATGGTAAAGCTGTTTCAGTTTCTTTATAATATGATGAACTCTGTGTATTTTCTGCAGCTGTAAAGTACAATTTTTAGTTCAGTTCACTAGCATTCTATTACAAAACTTAAAACTTTGGTTTCTTGTAAAAGATATGAGTTGATACATCAGACAGTGGTTTAAATTTATCCCTAAATATAGCAATATCTCTTACACAATTCAACCTTGGAAGAAGTATAGGTTTTAAATAATATAATTATACTAAAATATTTTTGGAAAATTACTTCAAAATTGATTGCCTATTTTTATAGCATTAAGTTTTATAAAAATAATTACACTTTAAACTTACCATAAAAGTTCAAATGTTCCCTATGATCATGGGACTGCTCATATTCACTTATTTTCTTTAATAAATCATTGTTTTTAATTCTTCTAGCTATTTCCTTCAAGGGCGTTACATTGTTTTCGGAAAGAACATCGCGTATTTCTAATACTCGTAACAGTTGCCCAATAGTTTTTATTTGTTCGAGTCTTCTTGTGGAGTCTATGTCATCTCTGTAAAACTCTTTTAGTTGGTTAAGAAGATTACCTTGAATGTCACTGCTTCCAACATTATATACAACTTGCTGTTTTAGATGTGTATAAGAAGATAATAAGGTCATTTTGAAAATAATCTACACTATACTACATAATGAATTTTAATCATTGTATGTTTTTGAAACTAGGAATCCCCTTTTATAAACTTAAAATCACGACCAATTTAATCACGTTAATGTCATCTGTCATTTAAAAGTGTACGTAACTTCAGAAAATAATATTACCAGGCTAACGTTATTTCATATTATTATGGCTATTTTTTGCTTTATCCCAATTCTAGTGGCGTAACAAGTAACAACAATGGCAGGGCTGGCAAAATGCCACGGGCCCCCAATCCAAGAGGGCCCCTGACCAAGAGAGAGATAATAATATTATTATGTTCTATGGATAAATGTGAACAATTTCATAGTAAAAAAATGCTTACAGCGCTCCATTGGTACGATGGTATGGTGCGAGAATTTTAAATGGTATGAAAGTACAGAGTTTTAATATATTCTAATAAATTTAAATGATAGCCAATATTATAATAAAATAATACGTCTTATAGATACTGATGTTATTAACATTAATAACAAGAAATAACCCAAAGGAAGAAAACACTTGTTTACCGGATTGAAGTTATGTATTATTATAAATTTACATAATTTTAAATTTTTGACCACAGTGTCACCGTGACCACGCACGCTGTAAAGTACGCGAAACGTCGGAAAAATTTATAATAATACATAACTTCAATCCGGTAAAAAAGTGTTTTCTTTAAATGTGTAAAAGTTATGTCAATAAAATACAATACTAAAGTAAACCCAAAGGAAGTTTGCCAACGTTGAATAATTTTAACTAACAATATAGTAGATATTTATTCAATCAGGTAATATTGATCTGGACATAGCTGATTGCTTCTTTTGTAGAGAGGTTTCTCATTTTCGCAGATAGTGCCATTGTTGGCATTGGTTGATACGAAAGCTGATGGAGTGTGCTTCAATACGTATTGGGATTTGGGCTAGTGTGGGGACTACAGACCATTCCCTCTCGCCTAAGAGAGGAGGCCTTTGGCCATTAGTGGGACATATACAACGTTTAATTCAGTACGCTGAAAATCTCGAAATTTATTAAAATTAAACTGAGTACAACGTGTCGAATTTTACCAATTAAAAGAATTTGCCACGGGCCTCAGATGGTATAGTTACGCCACTGGCCAATTCGGAAGATAATATTTTAATAAAGTATTAGTTATTATTTTGTGGCAACTACGATTATTTTTAAAAGTCGCCTAAAAGATGACAAGTAAAAAGCAAGTATTGACATTGATGCTGGGTCACATTATTATTCCATTATACTTCACAACATTTATCAAGCAGAACAAATGTTGTGAAGTAAAATAAATAAAATTATAAATAATTAAGACGTTTATAAAAAAGTGCATAAATAAAAATTTTGATTTTATACGTCAGTCATGTTATACTAAACGGTCACAGATTAGTAGAATGGACAATGACGTACATGCTTGTAGATAATATTATGTTTTCGTCTGTCTAATCTGCTGTCTTGGAGTTTTAGAATATGTATTATGTATATATATTTTTTTAAATTGAGCAGTGAGCTTAGTCTTTAGTTCTAAAACATATTATATAATTAGTGTTGACTCTAGTGTGAGGCTTTACCAAAGTCTCCGCCGAAGATTTATATAACATTATGGCAGTATTTGCGCAATAGTCCATACATATATGTATTAGAAAATGTATATCACTTTGCGATATCATTAAAAAACTACTTTCTCCACACACTACACTCAAAAATACTTATTGATTTTTTTAAATAAACCATATCAAAACAATTCACATCGCATTTGGTATAGTAAAGGTTTTTACTATACGATATGTGATGTGCAGGGTTATGGGTAATTTCACGTATTCCCATTGAGAGGTGGATAGGGGCGATTATTTGTAATAATTTTAATCTACATTTGCATATTATTATGTATGATGAAAAATAGTAGGCGATTTTCCTCTCCGATAACCCATCCCATACGACTGTTTTGACTATCACGTTAGAGCATATTGAAAGTAAATTTGTGATAACAGAGGTCATCATGCAATATAGTCGATACATGTATAATTTAACTTATTTGCTCGTTTCTTATCACGAATAGACAACGAGTCTCAAGCTTTGACCTCTCAATCAGTATATTGTTTAGTTTTGTTGTAACTAGTCGATTATGTACTAAAAATGTTACGCTCATTTAGGCCGAATTTATTGAAATTAAAACATAGTTGTAAAATCAAACATGGCGCCCGTTGCGTATCAAAGAGTTCGAAAGATGAAAATTTGTTTCCCGAACGAGTTGATTTTCCGAGTCGTCACATCGGACCAAGAGACCAGGACATAGTTACCATGCTAGATCTCTTAGGATATAAGGTATAAAATAATAACCTTGCGTCAGTTACAAACCTGTGGGCCTTGGTCTCAGGATACATCCATTTCTTTAACCGTTTTATATTAATGTGCCTTCCGTGCCCGACCAATGTCACTTATTAAAGACAAGCCCATTTCATCACGATGTTTGCCTTTATTTATTAAGCCTTTATTGCTGACACCCAGTACAATATAATAACACTTATTTAAGTTATATAAAATAACTTAATCTAATACGTCACTTGACCCTTTTTAGGTAGTCAGCGTGTCCTGTGACACATAGGCCTCTTCCAGTTGTTTCCATTCTTTTCTGATGTTAGCTCTTCTTGTCCAAGTGGTGCCTCCTATTCTCTTTATATCATCTGCCCATCTCTGCTATGTCTTCCTCTTTTCCTTTTTCCATCGCGTGGTTGCCATTCTGTAATTATATTCATTCATATTGTCCATTTCAACCTGCTATCTCTTGTCATGTCATGTGCCCGGTCCAGCGCTTTTTGGTTGCCTTTACTGAACAAATTTATCTGCCTTTTTTATCTAATAGGCAAACGGGTAGGAGGCTCACCTGATGTTAAGTGGTACCGCCCATGGACAGTCATGCATGTTTGATGGGGTATTTAAATGTCTGATTATTCGCTAAGACGATGGTGCTAGAAAATTATACGATTTCGTGGTGTTCGTATCTTTATTGGTTATTCATATTTCAGAGTTTGGATGAATTAACAAATAAAGCTGTACCCAAACAGATTCAACTCAACGGTCTCATGGAAATAGACGAGCCGATGAGTGAGTATAATAACTATCTGACAGACTTTACTTTCTTGTATAATATTATAATAAACAGTATAAACTCTTTATAACGTCATTCGTTATAACAAAGCAGTCTCTATACCGTAAAATTAGTTACATTTGTTGGGTTTAACACAAAAACGATACGTTAATTCACTCTTTATAACGCAACTGCCATTCTCTATAACGAAGAAATATTTTCATATTTAGACATCAACAACATACTTATACACATATTAAATAAGTGTTTTATAATCAGCTTAAAAAACTAACTTTTGAGGTGCCGAAAATTCTAAGAAAGAAACCTGAGGTCATAAACAGCCGTCTCGCCTTTGTTATTGTTAATTGCATTAACACGTGTGCCATTATTCTTAGATTACATTGCCTGTAGGATATTTTAGTCTCAGTTACTAAACGCACCATCGTCACCTATCGTGTATTATCAGTCGTAAACAAACTTTGAAACTATCAAGATGGCCAGTAAACAAAATAATTTACCTATTGATAGTAATAAAATTAGAAATTATTGTAATTGGTTAAATTAGTTTTTTTTCTATCCTTTCCCTATAACGTAGAATCTCTATAACGAACAAAAATTTTCGGTTCCTTGAAATTCGTTATAAAGACTTTACACTGTACATATATTCAGTTTAAAAATATTGTAAAACGACGCGCATATGGAATATAAATTCCAATGAAGAAATCGTACAATATTTTTATTATAAACATAATTTTTATTTAATAAAGTGACTTGTTTATACAGGCGAATACGATTTAATTGAGAGAGTCAGAAAAATCTCGGAACAGAATCAAATATGGCGATCTTTCATCGGGATGGGATACCACAATTGCTGTGTGCCGCACACTATCATGAGAAATATGTTTGAAAATCCAGGATGGTATGGGGAATTTTACATTACTTGTCATTATTATTTTACAAAATAGCATGCAGATGGGCTGTATGATTTTCAGTGATATACCGTCCATAGACGCATTGCTAGATGGTTCGCAAGTGCGTTATCGGACTTTAGGGTATTTTTTGAGCTTCAGCATTAAAGGCTCTGCAATAAGCTTTTTCTTGCAATTAAACCATGATAGTACCTTTAACGTTGGATTACTTTAGAAAATAATAACGATTTGTATCCTCTTGTTCCATGTTGGGTGTCATTTTATTTTTACCTTAATATGCCCTTCAAAAACATCGATTTGGTTGGTGGATAAATTTTCACAGTTTTTATTAATTTTAAGAAATCATAACTTATTTTAGAACTAACTAACTAACTAACAGATTAAACAGTACTTATCCGAATCTGGATATATTCGGTAGTGGGCTGATCAATTTTTAAGAAAGCATTGTTAAGAGCCTATCTCGTACCTAATCCGCTGTTTTGCTGGTATTTTTTTTCTTCTTAACAAAAATTTCTGGTTTTTTTGTAACATATACCGTTGATATAGATTTTTTTATTAATTAATACATTGTAAAATAAAAATACATTAGTACATTTTTTTAAATTTATTATTTAATAAATACATAATATATCAATGTACCGCTAGTAGAATACTACTAACTTCGTTATACTTACGTTCGTTAAAGTAGTACAACTTCATTACAAATGTTTCAGGACAACACAATATACACCCTACCAACCTGAAGTATCGCAAGGAAGATTGGAAGGCCTTCTAAATTATCAGACAATGGTCTGTGATATGACAGGTTTGGATGTAGCGAATGCATCTTTGCTTGACGAAGGTACAGCAGCTGCAGAGGCCCTATCTTTGTGTCACAGGTAATCTACACCCAAGTTTATGTGTAAATTGTTTAAATGCTAGAGGCGTTCTTATAGAATTATATTAAGACATAAAAAAAATAGTGTATTAATTGGTCCCAGTAAATATTTCCTTTTAAGTAATTAGTAGGCCTAAACATTATACTTCATCTGTGTAGTGAAAGACAGTCTAACCCGAAATAATTTTTCGGGATTCATAGCTTCAGGTCTGCTTTTCTAAGCCACCAGACGGTCAGTTCTTTGTGATACATAAAGAATATATGTCGGAGATATATTGTCACTCCTTCGACATTGTCATCGTCATTAGAGGGCTTAGTGGGCGTCTTGTGGATAAAAAGCGAGTACAAAATACACTAATAATTATCCTACCTACAATATTTAATTTAGATCCTTTTAACACTACAAATAACACGTTTAGCTTACATTATAACGCGCAGCATGTTCAAGGAACCGATCTCACTTTTAATCACAATCTACTAGACCCAACTTGGCCCAACCTTTCATCAGCACAATGCTCCACTGAATTCTCAATCAGCCCTGCGATTCTGTAACTCACTTTTCGAACTCACTGAGCGGTTTTCGCATCGGCGGTCGCTCTAAAATCAGTCGTGAAGCAGTCATTTTATGATTTGGCATTCTGAAAAGGTGGGAGCTTGTAGTTTATTATTTATCAGAATGCCAAATCATAAAATGACTGCTTCACGACTGATTTGAGAGCGACCGCCGATGCGAAAACCGCTCAGTGAGTTCGAAAAGTGAGTTACAGAATCGCAGGGCAGTACTGTCACGCGTTCCCTGAACGCACCGTCCAAAGTCAAGATGGCGCCTGGACCACTCGATTTGGGGGCTTAGTCTAAATTTGTAGACACGAACTGTCATTTTCGTACAAATTAAATTTTCGACTTTCTACATACACTACTATTAAGGCATCTTGACTAAGCCCCTCGGTCTACATTGATTTGTCGTAACAATATCCGTACTTTTATTCGTTTAGTAATAATTCCAAACTATGAAACAATAACAAAACAACTAAAATCACATATGATTCTTAAAAGTAATAGAAAAAATCTCATAACCAAAGCAAACTTAAAAATCAACGGTCAATTGACTCTATCATAACATACATATCCTGGTAATCAACATTCCCTGACATATACAATAACTTATCATAGTACATATATCATTCTAGACTTGACTTCCGAGCGTTTCACTTCTCACTGAGCACTCTTTACAGAACCAATACCAAATTATAACCTATAAAAGTTATTAATTAATATTTCAGACATAATAAACGAACAAAATTCGTGGTATCAGAACGCCTTCATCCACAAACCCTAGCCGTGGTTACAACACGACTGGATGCTCTAGGCTTAGAAGTAAAAGTATTACCGGATGTCCGAGAGGCCGATTTTGCCCAACGCGATATATCCGCGGTATTACTTCAATGCCCCGATACGAGAGGACTTGTCTATGATTACTCCGGATTGGCTGCTACTGCGCAAGAGCATGGTGTACGTATTTTAGCCTTTATATTATAGGCAGAATACAAAATACTATCCCTATCACCTTGAAGTCCGTCGTTCTACAACTGAGCGTTTCTTGAGGCAATTTCTGCCGCGCACCACGCGTACTATGTGGAACCAGCTGCCCACTGAAGTATTTCCGAATTTGTGGGCTTGATTTTAATTATTAATCACAAAATGCCTTTTTTGACAGCACATTTTAACTTAACGATCCTTTTACAGTCACTAGTTGTGGTAGCGACAGATCTTCTGGCCTCAGCGTTGTTACGGCCACCAGCAGAATGTGGTGCAGCTTTAGCTGTAGGAACCTCACAAAGGTTTGGCGTACCTTTGGGCTATGGAGGACCTCACGCTGGATTTTTTGCGGCCAAACATGCGTTGGTTAGATTAATGCCTGGTCGTATGGTAGGTGTAACACGGGATGCTTCTGGAAGAGATGCGTATAGGTAATACATATCCACAAGTGGATTTTCTTTGTTTAATTAATATCTCGTGCCTATAAAGGGCTCAATCTATGTAGAGCTTGATTAAGTGTTATGAATTTCTGGGACATTTTAATTATCTTTTTTTTTTAATTTTAAATTATAAACCATGTGCTTTAACCTTTAAGTCCTATAATTAACAGTAGATTGGGCCTTGTGTGCAGTGTTGACTGCGACTCTCTTCCCTGAGGTTTGATCTCTGGATGTGCAACAATTAACTTTCGATCTGTGCGTATTTAAAATTCGTTCGAACGGTGAAGGTAAACATCGTGAGGAAACCGGCTTGCCTTACAAAAGTCGACTACGTGTTTCAGGCAAAAGAGGTTGATCATCTACTTGCCAATTAGATTGACAAATGACCATGAAACAGATACAGAAATCTGGGGCCATACCTAAAAAGGTTGTAGCACCAATGATTTATTTATTTTAGAGGTTATTTTTAATTGTCAATTTATATGAAATATTTAAGAATATTAATTATGCTAATAATTAAATTACTAGATTAGCTCTTCAAACAAGAGAGCAACATATACGTAGGGACAAAGCCACATCGAACATTTGTACTGCGCAAGCGCTTCTTGCAAATATGTCTGCGATGTACGCGGTGTACCACGGACCACAAGGTCTTAAAGATATCGCTACCAGAGTGCATAATGCCACCTTGGTGTTGGACCATGGTGAGTTTATTACTAGTGCCGACAATTTGCTGATGAGCCGCTTCATCCATCTTTCTTATTTACCAGAAATAATATGAATTGTTAAGAATTTGTGTTACAAATCTAGTTAAGTAATATCATCGAGGAAAGAAACAATAATTAAGATACTATGTCAATGGAAAGAACTCCTTTGTAAAGATGCTGCGAAGTTTTAAACAACATGTATGCTTAAAATTACAAGAAAATATGACTTCACAAATTTTACACAAACTTATCAATTATATTAGAACAAAAATGTCAAACTAGCAAAGAAAAAATAAACACTAGCAAAACAAAAAAGCAGCTAAATCGATTTTATTCAAAACAGATGAAAACCACGTAGTATTTTTAATTATATTCATGATACTATTATTAGGGTAACTTGGAACCAGTTTCCACCACAATCCAACCACATAGGGAGCATTCAAGTATTACGTCACCCAATTTTTGGAGATTATTGGACCCCCATGTAACGCGCCGTAACGTTTTTCTGTACTGGCGTAAAGTACTGGCAAGTCGAAAATAATATTAACAATAACGCGTAATTTAATCCCCTCCCCGCATCGTAACGTTTTTACAAGAGGACCCCCCCTCCCAAAATTCGTTACGTCATACTTGAACGCTCCCATAGACAAACATTCTTCTTCCTTACTTTTATTCTTTATTCTGCAAATTAACAATATCCGTAATTTAATAAATTTCTTAATAATTAAATACCAATATTGACAGGAATTAAACAACGTGGACACACACAAACAAACGATGTTTATTTCGATACCCTACATATAATCCCAAATGAAGAACATAATGTAGACGCAATAAAATCAAGGGCTCAAGAGAAAAAAGTAAATCTACGATACTTCGATGATGGAGCGATCGGTGTTGCGTTGGATGAAACGACGACTATGCAAGATGTTGATGATTTATTATGGATATTTGATTGTAAAAACGTTGGGGAGGTAAGTTTTTAGAATAATATAATGATATTCAACAATTATTATACAGCTACTAGGCGCATTGTGGTATAAAAACACCTACACAACAAAACAGTTTTTTAATTAATTGAAAACAATCTTAAGAACAATTTATTACATTATTTAACCTAGACATAAGATTTATTACTAACAAAAACATACACACATAAACACACAAAATAACAATAATGAAATAAAATAAAGAAATATAATGAGAGAGATAAAAAAAATTTTTTTTCCTTTTCCAATCGGTTCGTGTCATGTGTGTCATGCGTGTGTGCTGTGGCTGTAATTGGACCTGGCTCAGCATTATGCTGAGGAGCAGAATGTTCCAGAGCGTTGGTCATTCTGCCAGAGACCACAGCAGCTAGTTTGCACCTCAGTTGCAAAAATAGAAAGAATGTAAAAACTTAGAAGAAAAAAATTATAATAATAATATTAGTAAAAGTTAGCAGTTGTAGTAATGAAGTCTTGTGTAAAGGTGTATAGTAAATTAAATTAAAAGTTAAAAATAAGAATAATTGTTTTGGGCGGATTAAAAACTAAATTTCGTGGGATTTTTGTTGAGTCAGTAGATGAATCTTATAGCTGCGACTAAAATTTGACTTAACAAATGGATTGATCTGATGAGCAATTTTTAACATATAATACAGATTATTCATAAAATCCCTAAGACTAATTGGACTTCATTGGTCTCTTTTCAACGCGGCGTAAACTCTATTCGTCGGAAAGAGAAATAAGCGTGGTTGAAAGAGTGGATCGAGGATCAGCGACAAATAAATTCTACTTTTCCTACAGGTGACCGGAACTGGCGACGCAAGGTCGCGTAGCATACAAAACGGACCTTTCAGAAGAACATCACCGTTTTTGACACATCCGGTGTTTAATGCACATCATTCTGAAACACGATTAGTCAGATATATGAAACGACTTGAGAATAAAGATATTTCATTGGTCCATTCGATGATACCTTTGGTAAGTTCACTGTAAATATTAGATACTTTTTAAAAACCAAGTGATTTAAAATTTTACTGTGATAATGGTAACACTTTTATACTTTACATCGACTAAAGGACTTGTATTCATGGTCATATTATAATTAAGAGATAAATCTTTTTAACTCATCCAAGATATAAAGGGAAAGATTCAAAATTGTATGAAAATTTGTCGACACGGTCTGTCGTTTTTATACAAATTTAGATTTCGACTTTCTACATACACTACTGTTAAGGCATCTTGACTAAGACCCCAGATACGAGACCTATCGCTAAGTCTGTCCCCCGTCAATAATGTGTTGCATTTTGACATACGAGAGGTCCAATAATTGTCGCTAATCCTCGTTCCCAGAAGTGAGACTTAGAAAAATTATAAATCAGTGGCGCTACAACCTCTTTAGGGTTTGGCCTCAGATTTCTGAATCAGTTTCATGATCAAATTTAACTTGTTATTGAATAAAAAAATTATTTTTGTTTTTGAATTTTTCAATCTAATAGGCAAGTAGGTGATCAGCCTCCTGTGCCTGACACATGCTGTCTATTTTGGGTCTAAGACATGTCGGTTTCCTCACGATGTTTTCCTTCACCGTTCGAGTTAATGTTAAATGCGCACATTTCTGAAAACCCCTTCTTAATTCCAGGGTTCATGTACCATGAAACTAAACTCCACAACGGAAATGATGCCATGTTCTTTCAAACATTTCACCGATATACATCCTTTTGCCCCTCTAGACCAATGTAAAGGGTATCATGTGTTATTTGAAGAGCTTGCCAAAGATCTTTGCGCTATTACCGGATACGACCGTGTTTCCTTTCAACCTAATAGGTAAGATTTTATTTAACAACTATTGAAAACATTCTGCTTTTATTAAGGTAACAAAAACATGTTCTACTATGAAATAACAAATTCTGTAGTAGTATGAATTGAATATAAATAGTAGGGACATATTTTGTGTTATCAACGACAAATATGTTAAGAGCTGCTTGGGTTCTGGTTATGTTTCTCTAGTATGATTTATTATGCGCATCCTTTTTGGCATAATATTTTAAAATTAGGATCAAATACAATTAATATTATGACCTAATTTTACTACAATAAATTTTACTACTATTTTAAAACAATTACGTAAAAAACTTCGCGAATTAACCGAAAAACCTAATTTCAGTGGTGCCCAAGGCGAATACGCCGGTCTGCGAACAATTAAACGTTACCACGAATTCCGTGGGGACACGGGACGAAACATATGCTTGATACCAGTCAGTGCGCATGGAACGAATCCTGCATCAGCTCACATGGCTGGTATGAGAGTTTGCGCTATACGAGTGACGCCCACTGGTGATGTTGATATGGAACATCTTAAGGATAAGGTTAGTAAGGGTTTGAATAAATAAAATAAGTCTTTAATGTTAGAAGAGAAAGAAGACAAAAGAAACGATGGGCCGGTGACAATGAAAGCTGGCAAAACATGGATGCTGACGGCAAAAGATAATAGGGTGCCAAAAGTTGGAGGAGGCCCGATTTTGGATGTAGGTCGCATATTAGAATAACAAAATTGATTGTTTTACTTTTTGTATATTACGTGGATAAACCAAGTATTGTTATTCTTCTCAATATATAATTTTTTTTAAATTAGTACATAATTTAAAAAAAAATTACAATAGTGTGGTGGAAACAAAACTAGATTGTTTTTCTGTCTAGCAGGACGTCAAACAAATTTAAAACGTATTTACTACAGACAAGGGTCTTCCATTTATAACTGTAAGTAGTTTTATTGGACACTTTCTTATGTTAAATATTATTTTTAATAAATTAGGTTATACTTAAATTATTAATTAGTCTTAATACTAAAACCAATACATTAAATAAAATTATAATTATTATATAGCGCATACTATAAGTACATTAATTAGGGTAATGTTCGCAATGAATAGTGTTTGATTGGTTGTCTTTTGTTATCGCTTTAGATAATAACGACATTTAATGAGTGTTCCGCAGCTAGGTGAGGGGTACCGGGTTCAATTCCCGGTAAAGTTTTAATTTAATTTAAATTTGTTCTCGGCCTTTGGGAGGGTTGTGCGGTACCGGGCGAGTGCTTAAACCGTACATGGAGGACACGGTCGAATTTCTAAAGACAAAGCACGAATTATAAAAAAAATCTATACTTGACGCTGGCTAATGCACAAATCGTGCCAGAGCCATTAAAAAAAACCTACTTTTAGTTGTGGCTTATTAATAATCACAAAATAGTATGTATATTTGGGGGGTTTGAATGGATCCAAGCTTGTGATAGAAAAAGATGGCCAGCCTCGAAAGATGCCTTTACCGGAGAGGGTTCCTGATACATACTAACTGAAAAAAAAAAATTACTCACATAGGATAATTAGATATAACTGTACCAAGAAATAAATTAAGGCTTAAAATAAATAAAAGTCTGTATATTTAAACCTAATTGTTATTCAGGTCGAGGAACATAGCGCAAACATATCGTGTCTGATGCTTACCTATCCCAGTACTTTTGGTGTGTTCGAGGAGCGAGCGGCTGATGTTTGCGCATTGGTACACAAACATGGCGGTCAAGTTTATTTAGATGGAGCCAATATGAATGCACAGGTAATAAATTTGTTCATAAGTTTTGCAGTATCTACATAATATTGTGTTAATTTTTCCGTTTTGCCTATCAATGGATACCGCCTAGTACAAAGCAAACAATACTTGGCTATACTACAGTGATTGATCCCTGGTAATAGCGATTGGAAGCTACAAAGTATGGCCATTAGTCTCAAAAGATTTTTGCCATAAAGGAATAGAAAAAAGATTTGCCCAGAATTAAACGCAAAGACTAATTTGTGAGTGAATTGCACTAAACCGGTCACCTAGGAACTGTCCCAAGAATACCAGCCTCCACAAAAGAGGATAATACGAAATTCGACCCTTATCACCTCGAAGTCCGTCGTTCCACAATTGAGTCTTTTTTAAGGCAGTTTTTGCCGCTCACTACCACTTTGTGGAACCAGCTGCTCAATGAAGTATTTCCGAACCAATTAGACTTAGCGTCCTTCAAGAAAAGAGCGTACCATTTCTTAAAGGCCGGCGCGGCCTTCTGACATTGAGAGTATCCATGGGCGGCGGTAACACTTAACATCAGGTCAGCCTGTCCCTCTACTCACTATTTTATAAAAAAAGGAACTATAGAGACTTTATTAATTAAAGAATCTAAAATTTATTTCGTAATTAATTATTTACTGGAAAACTTTTATTTGGAAAATAGTTTGGGACTAGGTGCCTCCATTAAATCTGATATTGTGGTTCGTAGTTCAGTTAATATATTGCAACGTAATAACAAAATCACATTTCCATTGGTAACTCACATATTGCAGAACCTTTTGAAAATTATTAAAAAATTACAGGTTGGTCTATGCCGACCAGGTGATTATGGCAGTGACGTATCTCATCTCAACTTACACAAAACCTTTTGCATCCCACACGGCGGAGGTGGTCCAGGTATGGGGCCTATTGGAGTGTAAGTTCTATTGGAGATTAAGAAGTTTTCCTTTTAGGTATTAAACCAGCAATGCCTATGGACACGCCATATGGACACGCAGTAAGTAGAAAATTTAAGCGATGACTGTAGTCAGACTAACTGTTTTCTTACTTTGGCGCGAGTGTTTTTTAGCGCGAGTGAGTATTGCGTGTAAAATAAGGTTCTAGTTTTAGTTTGATTTTGAACTTTGGAAAAAACATGGATGGCAGTGGAATGTAAGTAATTTTTCTTATAAATTATTTTAAACGCTAACTGCGTTTTGAATAGGATTGTGGTCAATAGTGTTATCTGACGTTTGAAATGATAACCTAAGTGAAAACATTGTTTCGATCGAGTTTTAGAACAAATTTGTTCGCGTGTCCATATGGACACGCTAAGCACTTGAATGAGCTGACATTACTTTGCATCCGCTTTCTTGTTATCAGGTACATGGATTATGGAATATTCAAAAACCAAAGAACATTGAGTGATATTTTGAATGCCTCTTCACAAGTTTGTAGTTGCTCATTTATCTTCGATAATAGTTCTGCAGCCTACGCGGTTAAAAAAATTCGCTCACTAACTGATGTCGATACAGCTAGACTTGTTTATTTTAGTTACTTTCATAGCTTAATGACTTATGGCTTATTATTATGGGGTCATGCTGCTGATGTCGAAACTATTTTCATCCTGCAGAAGAGGGCTATTCGTGCAATATATAATTTAAAATGTAGGGAATCTCTTAGAGATAAATTCAAGGAAATTAATATACTTACCTTTCCCTCGCAATATATTTATGAAAATATTATGTATGTATACAAAAATAGTGATAAGTTTACTAGAATAGAACATACGCACAATGTTAATACACGGAACAAACGCAGGCTGCAATTTCCCCGTACTAGACTATCTAAAGTTAGTAATTCTTTTTTTGGGGAAAGGGATACTCTTCTTTAATAAAATCCCAGAGGCTCTTTTATCACTGCCTTTCAATAAATTTAAGAAATGTATTAAAGAACTGTGTAAAAAGGCTTACTATAAAGTCAACGATTATCTAGTTGATAAAAGGGCCTGGGACTAGTGCTAGACAGGCTACTTCTAATCAATTTGCGATATTTGTTTTAAATAAGTGTTGTTTGATGATTTGCTGTTTTAAAAGAGTACCGAGAGTTTTTTACGCCGGCTTTTTCTCTCGGCCTACACCCTCTGTCTTCTTTGCCGATGAGTAGGGATGCCTTCAAATTTAATGACGTGGAATAAGTGATACATGTATCTTATGTTCCATAATAAACATATTTTATTTTTATTTTTTTATTTTAAGCCTATGGCTATGGCGCGACGAGGTTCCGTACGTGAAAATCGTTCGCGAAAATGCCCGAAGCTCACCACAAACAAGCAAATAAAATAGAAAAAAGAGGGTATTATGAGTCAGCGATAAGCAAAGATGATGGCGTATAGTGTTTATTGCTTCTAGTAATCTGGGGGTACCCATAAGTACTGTGAAGCGTTATTCAGAGAAAGATAAACGAATGTACAGGTCCCACGTCCTCATCTTTTTGGTGAATATAATCGGTTCATGGGAGGCGTCGATCGTATGGACGAGAATATAAATATGTATCGAATACACATAAGAGGCAAAAAATGGTATTGGGCCCTATTCAGCTGGAGGCTGGGTACTTGTATTCACAACGCTTGGCAACTACAACGGAAAGCAGGCGCTAAAGTGGCACAGCTTGATTTCAGAAGGGAGATTGTGTTACATTATTTGAGCAAATATAATCTCTCTATACCCAAAGGGCTAGGGAGATCTAGTACTTCTAGTTCAGCGATAGCGAACACTTCGCGCTTTGACAAAATAAAACATTTTGTTACTAAAACAGAAAAAGAGGAGATGTGTGGGTCCGTACTGCAAGACTAAATCTTCCGCAGTTCGAACAGCTTGCTGCAAATGTATTGTTGGCCTTTGCGTCAACTACTTTAGGGATTACCTCAAAAACAACTAAGTCCTTTCTTGTTGTAAGTCTTTTCTTTTTCTGTTTGTTATTTAAATTAGTGAAGATTTGATTTAATTTGTACACCTTAACGCTTAGCGTGTCCATATGGACACGTTTGATTTTTCGCAAAATAAACAATTTTTTTTAAAACAACTTGTTTTTCTCTTTATTAATGTTATTTTAAGTGAGATGATTGCAACAAATACAAAAATAATAATTAAAAAAGAAACTGGGCATTGCTGGGTTAAAGACCTCTGCAGGACACCGTTGGGCGTTTTAAGTTAACGATTATCTAGTTGATAAAAAGGCCTGGGACTAGTGCTAGACAGCCTACTTCTAATTAATTTGAGATATTTCTTTTAAAATAAGTGTTGTTTGATGATTTGCTATTTTAAAAGAGTACCGAGAGTTTTTTACGCCGTCTTTTTCTCTCGGCCTACACCCTCTGACTTCTTTGCCGATGAGTAGGGATGCCTACAAATTCAAATTTTATGACGTGGAATAAGTGATACATGTATCTTATGTACCATAATAAACATATTTTACTTTATTTCTTTATTGTTTTGGAACTAATAATTTTATATTATTATTAATATTTTAGATCATATACGTACTTTCTGATAATCATAGGTACTATTGATAAAATTACCTCATGAGTTACACAGTTCCGTGACTTTAACAGCCCTTTATATTTTTTGATAATATTGTATCGTTATTATAACGGTTTATTTATAACTATAATAACACATAATGCGAATATTTTCACTTTTTAGTGAAAGGTATAATAATATTTTTAATATGAAAAAACATACTCTTACAGAAAGGCCCACTTAGCCCCATTCCTTCCATCACATCCGGTGGTAGACCCACTAGCAGACCTTGGTGACGCAGCCCATAGCTTTGGTTCCGTCAGCGCCGCGCCTTACGGCTCTTCAGCCATTTTGCCTATTTCTTGGGCCTATATTAAAGTAAGTAGAAAGTTCGTCCGTCCACTTTTTCCCGCGCACCACTACGATCCTTTAAGACCCTTTCGGACTTAGAGGCCTTCAAGAAAAGAGCCCATTCCTTGAGCGTTGCAACTGTTCATGGGCCGCGATTTTCACTTTATTCAGTGGTAACCTACTCGTTAGCCTTCTGTCACATAAAAAAAAGAGCGTACCACTTCTCAAAAGGTTGGCAACGCACTTGCGTGCCTTCTGGCAGTGTGAATGTCCATAGGCGTATCACTTAACATCAGATCAGCCTCTTGTTTGTTTGCCCTCTGTTCTATAAAAAAAGGTTTAGGGCAGTTGTTCCTAATTATGAGCTTTATCCGAGTCTTGGCTGTGTACCAATAAAATTATTTCGGGTGATCACGCATGTTTCAAATTTCAGATGATGGGCCCAAAAGGTCTCAAACGCGCTACCCAAGTGGCTATTCTAAATGCTAATTACATGTCACGAAGATTGGAGAATTATTACAAGACACTGTACAAGGGAGAACGCGGACTTGTTGCTCACGAATTTATCATTGATGTTCGAGATTTAAAGAAAACGGCCAATATTGAACCGGGAGATATTGCAAAACGACTTATGGACTTTGGTAAGTTAATAAATTTCTTTTATATCTTCGGACATCGACCCTTCTTAAAATTTAAGAGCCGTGCTCTTGTCTTAGGACTAATCGCCACTTAGTGCGGTTCTGCGTCTGTGTCTTGACCTCCTGGTATGTCACGACCTCAACTTTTTTCTTGATCTGGTCTATGTAAGTTATTTTCGGTCTTCCTCGTCCTCTCCTTCCTTCTATCTTCCCCTCCAAGATGGTCTTTAAGAAGTTCTCGTGTCGCACCAGGTGGTCATCTTCCCTCCCCGGCTTTCTATGGTACTCAGCCGATTTCGTTTCTCTTCGACCATATCCAGCACCTCTTCAGTGGACTTTTTTGGTCCAGCTTCTCTTCAGATCTTCTCTTCTCTTCTCTAAGATCTTCATCCAGCGACACATCAAGTTTTTGTCTTTCTTTTTTAGTAAGAGTCCATGTTTCGCTACCGTAGAGAGCAATGCTCCAGACGTATGTTTTTATAAGTCGTTTTCGTGTTCTGCATGCTATGTTGGCTTTAAATAGGTGTTTTTTTCTGGTTGAAAGCTCTTTTTGATATCGACCTAGCATACGAAATTCCACCCATATCACCTCAACGTCCGTCGTTCCACAACTGAGCTTTTTAAGGCAGTTTTTGCCGCGTACCATCACTATGTGGAACTAGCTGCCAGCTCAAGTATTTGCGAACAAATTCGACTTAAAGTCCTTCAAGAAAAGAGTGTACCAATTCTTTAAAGGCAACGCACTCGCGAGTCTTCTGGAATTGAGAGTGTGAGTATCACTTACCACCAGGTGAGCTTCCTGCCCGTTTGCCTTGTTCTATAAAAAAGAACATTACTAAACCATTATCATAAATTAAAAAAAAATGTATGACATTTATTTCTGTAAGATGAACTTCCAGTCTGTTCGAAATACCTTTAATATCTTACGATTAAGCTTGTCCCTGAAGATATCGTTAAACTCTTTCCGCGATCAAACGCGATTTTGACTTTATAAACTCGTCCTTAATAGTGTTGCTATTTTTCTTTAGATTTAAACTCAATATAGTAGATTTAATTTAGTAAAACGGATAGATAATTAGCAATATTTAAATACTGATCAGTTTTATTATATCTTAATTATGAATAACTTGCACTAATGTAGTAGGTACCTCTTAACTGTAGCAACTTTAATCAGTTTTATAACTAAACTAAATTCACCGTTTTAATCAAAGTACTTATGTACAATTTTAATAAGGGGTTATTAGATTTCGGACGTTTCTTAGTTTAATAGATGATTGTCAATTGTTTTTTTTAGGATTTCACGCACCGACAATGTCTTGGCCGGTTGCCGGCACGTTGATGATAGAGCCCACAGAATCCGAAGATTTGCAAGAGCTGGAGAGATTTTGTGAAGCTCTTATCACGATTAGGAAAGAGATTAAGGATATAGAAGACGGTGTTATGGACAAACGGTTGAATCCATTAAAAGTACGTCTCAAAGATATTTTTGACTAGGTTCTATTGAACTAGTAGTTCACCTTGGGACTGTAAGTTCGTGCTTCCGATTTTCTTAATACCATGGAGCACTGTTCAAGTGATTTATACAAACACTTATAGTTATTATTACTAATACAAAAGAAACAATTATGGTATAGTTCCATTCAATGTGCTCAAACAAAAATTAATATAGTACGATAAGATAATTTGTATGAATAAAGAAACTTGAGGTAAAAATATTTTTACACGCTTAACATAATTGTTTACAGCGTTGAGAATGTGTCTTTTATTTATTAAATTTCGTTATTAATGTCTAGAAAAAGAAAATAAAGCAATTTTTTGTTCACTAGATGGCGCCACATACACAAACTGATGTTATAACAGAAGACTGGAATCGACCCTATAGCCGAGAACAGGCTGCTTTCCCAGCGGTAAGTAAAATAATAGCATACATTTTATATTTTCGATATATACACACATATTTTGATATTAACTTGTTATTAATTAGTTTCACATTATATCCTAATATAATGTGAATCAGTGTAATTTTGTTTATATTTCAAGAAATATTCGGTAAAAATTGTAGTACAAAGAACAAAACTCGAAGATTTTAACTTGTTTAACATAAATTGAAATTTCTAACCAGCACATTTTCCAGTAGGTAGATTAATTTTTTCAAAGCACGTTTTTCCATTTAAACCTTATTGACAACACTAGACTAAATACTAAAATCCTAACTCTGACTGTAGTTTTCAATTGCTTCTAATTATTTTTTTCAGGCATTTGTTAAAGGTGAAACGAAGATTTGGCCCACAGTAGGAAGAATTGACGACATGTACGGTGACAAACATTTAGTATGCACCTGCCCGCCCGTTATTGATGACTTTTGAATAAAATAAACCATTTCAGTAATATATTATATTTTTGACAATATTCTCTTAACAAATATCATCACGCTTTCCACTTATTAGAAATTTTAGTTATATTTTTGCCGAGAACAAATTTTCTATCTGACTTATTATAATTTTGCGCTAATTATCAACATAGTTAATTCAAGGCAACTGGTTTCTTTTATTTCTACAAGAATTCGAATATAGCATTCAATATTTAATTTGACTAGAATCACAGTACAAAATGTGTTTAAAAAAATCTATTGCTCCATTTACCAATTAAAACAGCCGTCACTCTCAGTCTGCTTAAAATAATACAGCTTTATTCTTAAGCAAAGGATACAACACAACTCCAAGAAATCACACATATAAACGATTCAAAATGTAAAAAGTTAGAAAAAGTTAAGTAACATTATTTAGGTGGAGAACTGATTGCCTCTTTTGGGTAGAGCCCTAACCTCACCCCAAAGTCTTTAGGAGTGCGTAAAGCTGGTCTTGTTGGGAACGGATAGTACGAACTTGATGATGGACTACGAGGCATAGACAAAGACGATAATGTATCTGTTTCTAAAAGAGACGTTATCGCACTACACGTATCATCTGATTCTATTCGCACTGTATCACTTTTTATGGTATAGTCTTTTGGAAATGAGAGTGTCTCACGGTGCGGAAACGTTTTCGGAGATATCGGTGTCGATATTTGGTCCAAGGACGTTATTTGACACAATGTATCACTGGAATTACTCTTTGCACCCATCGGCGAATCATCTTCCATTGAGGGATCGTAAGTAAAACTAATAGAGGACGTTACTTTTTGGGAAAAATCACTCAACTGACTATCTGTTTTAGTTTCACATATTTTTGGTTCTTTATCAAGTGTCCTACTACATATATCACTAACTTTTGATAACACATAGTCGTTGTATTTACTGGAAGTTGACAACGGATAGTTGTAATCATCAGAGGTATATTTCCGTTCATATGTAGATGTGTCTTTTAGCTCCGATGATAGAGTTACAAACGTTTTCGAATCACTTGATAAAGAATATCGGTTATAATCAGGTTTTTTATCATTTGAGAGAGTTTCTATTCGAGAATTGGAATTTTGAGTTGTTTCAATATTATTTGAAACTGTATCTTTAGTTTCATCTGCTTCGAGTAATGTAGTTTTAAAATCACATTTTGCAAAAAATCCTTTATTTTCCCAACCATACAAATCAGTTTGATTACCAAGAGAGTCACTACTAGGACTTTTTAAGTGTTGTAAGGAAAATTCTTCTGAGAGTAATTTTTTTCTCATTTCAAAAGAGAAAGGATCATCAATTGAAATTGGCCGAGCTCTTAAAAAATCATTTTTATCTGATAACTCACTATGAGGTTTCCTTCTAATGCCACCTATTAATGAATCTGAAGTGGATTCTTTAAGTAGTGTAGAATCAAGCGATTTTGATATAATAAGATCAAGTTTACTATCTTTATCCTTATTTATAATTTTTTGCGTCTGAGCAACGTCTGATGTAGTATTTGTTACATTTTGCTTTGTGAGTATTCTACTAAGAATTTGAGAGTTTTCTTGAATAATTTGTAATGCTCTTTCACTATTTTTGCGGCCAGATTGTAAAAAATATTCATGTGGACTATGATCTAATTTTGGGGTTTGTATAGAAGAGGCAACTTCTTTAACAGGCATTTTAAGAGTTTGACTTTTAACATCAACACACGTCTCATTTCTACTATCTATACGGATTTCTAGTTTAGGACTGTCTTTAGGTTTTATCTCTTGGACTTTATCAGGACTAACAGATTTTTTACAGACAAATGTGTGTCTTTGCGGCAATGAAGAAGCTCTTTCAGTTTCATTTGTTACCTCATCTTGATCGTCACTTGTTATAGTTAATGAGTCAGGTTTTTTGTGTACACGGGAATTTCTTTTCATTGGCCTTCGACTGGGAATATTTTCGTTATTCGGATCTGTCAAGCGTGCACCAAAAAATTCTGGACTATTTTCAAAATATTTATCAACTTTTAGTGGAATAGGTGGCTCATCTTCACTTACAATAGCACTATCAGATTCTGGACTCTGAAGTGGACTTTCAATATCTGATGCGTATTTGTCCGATATGTCAATATCTGGTACAAAATTAGGATACATTGTAAAACTATCGATTAAATCTGGTGGTCTTATGGATAAATCAGCCTTAGAAGTAGAAGGTCGTCTAAGATTAGATTCAAAGTCATAGCAAAATGAAGACTTTTGTAGGTTTAAATGATGGTATGGAGATAAATCAACTGGACTTAAGGCAGTAAAATTTGCTGTGGAAAAATTGGACCTGCCACCTCGAGAAGTTCGAGTTGATAATAATGTATTCTCATTACCAGATATATACGCATTATCGCTAAGCAACGCATGTGATTCAGAAAGGTTTAGGTTGAGATTATCTTTGTTTGGTCTTATTGGATTGCTTACGCTTTCTTGAACTTCAGTTGATAAATTTTCCTTATTTGTAGATTTAAAGTTTGTGGTTTCTAATGGTATAGCTTGATTTTTTGTTGGTGATGATATTTTTTCAATATTAGAGTTAAGTTCGTTTTTAAGCGGCTGTGTCTTTATATTTTCATTTTCTTTATCTACATCTAGTAAATCGGTTTCCGATTCGCTTCCACCTTCGTTTTCATCGCAAAGGCTTGTATCTGTACTTGATCTAGAATGCGATGAGTATGATGAAGATTCACTTGAACTACGAGAACGAATAGAGGCAATCATTTCATTCGCTTCTATTTCTGATACAATAATACCATCTCCACTTTCATCTAAATCTATGGATGGTTTTCTACCTACTTCTACTTTTTCTTTTTTAATATCTTTCCACTTAACAGAATTTCGTCTATCTAAAGTCTTACGCGTTTTTGCTTCTTTCCATGTGATTGTTTCATTTAAAGTTCCTTTCGAAGACGTTTTTTCATGGCTTGAGCTTTGGCGAGAAGGAGGTACAGCTCCGGGAGGTGGTCCAAGTCTTCTTCCTCTTGAACTAACTATAGCGCTTTTACCAAGAAGTAAGTTATTCACTGTCAGTGAAGTAGGTGATGTCGGTACGCCAACTGTAACACATTTAAGTTACACTAAATAAGTTCCTCTATCTTAGTTATGCTTATGGCTTGATATGGTTAAAATTAAATTATTAACTAAATAGCTTTTTCTTCAAAGCATTATTATTATACTGTGAAGGTAGCCCAAATATTACCTGCAGCGTGACGAGCGCAGGCAGCCGCCAAAATGACATGAGCTTGTCTTTGTCGCTCTCTGAGGCGGGCGTATTGTCTCTTCAATGCTCCAATATCTAATGTAAGTCTATCACCCGTTCCTGACCGGTTGTCTCGTCGCGGAATCACCTGGGAGTTAAGTTGATAAGATTATTTCTTAAAATGTGAGTTTTATATCTAAAGCTAAAGTTTAAACAAAAATTTTTGCCCGAAATATGATTTTGTTGCATTAGTAATACCTAATATTCAAATATTTACCGTAGCTAGGGCTAATTTATTGCCATCATCACTAGAGTCGCCTTCATCTTCCGAATAGAATAACCGCAGACCTCGCTTCGTCATCGACTGCATCTGTCATTTCAAAGAAAAGGATTTTTTTAAACCTAATTACCTTCTTTGCAATTAAAAGTATTGTTTGTATTAAATTATATTTATTGGTTTTTTTCAATTAATAATTGTATTCGATATTTAATGTGTGACATTTGAGAAAAAAATATGTTAATTCGACTTTGTCTTAAAATAAAATACGGTGTATATAAGGGCTTTGATTTAAAATAAATAAATTACTAAAAATAGCTACAGACAATTATGGAAACTTTATTGATTTTTATTTTTAAAACATTTACCGCTGATTGTATAGGTGGATGTGTAGGCGCATTTGGTGGAACTGGTGGGGTAACCCTATACCGATGAAGGTTCCGAAGACCAGGCAATTCTGGTGCAGAGTTCAGAGATACCACCCTAGCGACTAGAGCATCACTCGATTCCCACACAGTACTGGCCCCTCCCCCCATACAACTGTAGAATTCGTCTGCAGAACGGGCTGATAGTATTCGACTGGAAACAAATAATTTTATTTTTAAAACTGCACTTCTATTTTGTAGAAGATTTCTCTTTCTCAAGACTATAGTCAGGCAGGAATTAGTTCCTTATCCGCTGGTGATGCAATCTTAAAATTATTAAGTACGAAAACTCAATATAGAAATCGCTTTTGAAGGTAAGTTTTAAAAGACGCTGTGAATTTCAAATTACAAAGAACATCAATAAATACAAAATGGCATACAGTCTAAAATCGCTTAACTGTAACTTTACATAAAATTCTTGTGTCACAATGTTCGTTCCCATACTCCTCCGAAACAGTTTATGCATATTCAGTAAGTCTGAGAATCGGCTACTATCTATCTTTCAAACCCCTAATTTTGGGGTGTCCACCCCAAAAATTATTTTTTAAACAATTTTTTTATTTTTCATGATACCCTAATTTTCACCCCTCTACGATCAACCCCTATTTTTTATTTGTTAATTAAAATCTTATGACTTGAACTTTGAGGTTTATATAGAGCAAAATCCACAGATAACCCTAAAAAGTTTTCATTCCAGTAAACCGAAAAGTCTCTGGGGTAGCATAGCAAAATGTTCCATGATGTTATGTACTAAAAAGGTAGGCTAAGTAAAATCACATGGAGAAACCAAGTTCGCGGGGGCAGCTAGTGTTATATATTAGGTCCTTACATATGAAATTGGCGTTTTACGTTTTGGCCACTTTGACCTCAAATATCTCCTCTTTGGTTAAGAATTCCAAATTAAAATTTGTACAGCTATTTACTCATGTATTTGTGCTTCGATGACCGTCATTCATTTGTTTTTTTCTTCTGTTTTTTTCTGTTTGCGTCACTCATTTTACAAAATGGAAAACTTAAAGTATCGCATTATTTACGAGTACGAGTTCCGCCGTGGCA